AACCCTCTTGAGGGGTTCCGACAGTGGCAGAAACGGCCTGGAATCAGAAGGGCTGAGAGCAGCCACTGTCGTCCCTTCAACCTGCCTCTGAACTATGGTGTAGTGGGGCTGGCTGAGGAGCCACAGAGACTCCCCAGAATGGGAGATCACAAAGGATTGGCCCCGTTTAACACCCGTGAGATGTTTTGTCCTCAAATTCTGTGCCCTTATTTGATGTTCATTGGAAAACATTCACTGAACGCCAGATGCATGGTAGACACAGTTGATGTTTTGAATCCAAATTGTCCCCAAATGCTCACCTTTTAAATACCTGGTCCTAAGTTGGTAGTGCCATTTGGGGAGGTTCTCGAAAGTTTAGGAGGTGGGGCCCAGCTGGAAGAAGTAGGTCATGGGGGTCTTTGGTGATATCTGGCCCCTTCTCTCACTCCGCTTGCTATGATGCTAGAACCTTCTCGACATATGTTCCTAGCACTGTGATGCTCTGCTCAAGTTAACATGGACCGAATAGCCATGGACCAAACCCTTTGAAACCATGGGCCCAAACACATCTTTCTTATTTTAAGTTATTTATGTCAGCTATTTGGTTATAGCAAATAGAAAAGTAGCTAACTCAGACACTGAATATTCAGAAATGAACAGGGCAAGGTTCTTACCTTCACAACACTCAGTTTTTCTGAGAAAAATGGAATAGAGCAGCGATACTGTGTATCAAGGCTTCCAGTAGGGCCATCCGCTACAGATCGCTTGAGCAGAAAGGAATTCCTAAAAGGTTATTGGAAGCCTCAGAAGCTCTTACAGGAAGAAGACTGTTTCTAATCACAGCCATAGAACAGATTTGGCTCAGTTTTCTGGGCCCAGCTCTGCCCTTGTTTGCCAGCTCTCGTTGTAGTGGAGGAAACGGAATCGAGCTCCAAGGGAGTCAGTTACACACCTCCAAGGCGGGCCGGAGCGGACCCCTGGATATGTTACCTCTCCGAGAGGGCTAAGGAGCAGGACCACCAGGCCAGAGTCATGGCTAGACCACGAGCAGAGAGGACCCGTGGTCACAGAGAAACCAGAGCTGCGTAACAGCTCAGGTTGTAAAAGCGGATTCTATTCGGGGCTTGCATGAAGGGAAAAGAGACCTCCCAGAGATCCTTCTTAGCTCTGGAGACAGCAGCAGCTAAGGGGACTTAGAATCAAGGAGCAGGGTTAAGGGTCAGTGGAGACACAGGGGTAAAGGGAACCCTGACAAAAGCCACCGAACAGGATTTTTGCTAAAGACAGGCCAGAGTGTTCAAATGTCACTGTGTGATGCTGGGAGAGATGGACAAGTTGCTGCTGTAGCTGGAATCGGAGAAGCGCATGGATGGGCCTCAGAGAAGGTACAGGAGGCTGAAAACTTCAGCTAAACGGAGAATCCTTGTCATAACTCCGTTTTCCTCCTGTGCTGCAGTTGCAGTAAGCAGACCCTCAAGTCGCTTTAAACCCGTGTGTTTTTAAAAGTCCCACGTAACAATTGCAACTATGTCTTTGGAATGGGATTGATCAATGTGGCCCAAAGGTTGTTCCAACAAAGTTATCTGGAGCACGAAGGAGGGCATTGGTCACATCCCTTTTCTTCTCTGGCCACCACCAGGGTCATGTGCTAAATTATACCCGATGCAACCACCTGGCAGTGATATCACGTGACCCCTCTTGTACTGAGAGCATGAAGAGAGGAGGCCTGTGGCTATCCTGCCCCCGTGTCTTCTTCTATGAGACATGGCCATGTGTTCTGTTTTGTGTGATTATCTTAAAGCAGATTATTCTGCGAGATGTGAACCTGGACACCGTATTTCCTGGGCAGCCTCCTCACGGAGCCTGTTTTGGGGTGGCCTCTGAGCAGATTGTGTACCCACTGCTGGTGGGTACGCGATTGTCGTGCTGAGAAATCCTAATTCCTCCTGAACCACTTGGGTAGACAGGGACTTGGCACTGATGGAAGTTGGACATAGGACTTTCCCTGATAAAAAGAAGGAGAAAGGTGTCATCACCCAGGACAGGATCCAGGTGACACATGCTGCCACAGCTGTTAATACAGTGGCCATGCTTCAGCAATGTAGTGTTGTAGACTGACTGCTTGTAGTGGAAGTTCCCCTACCCTCCTAGTGTGATGGCATTTGAGATGGGGGCCTTTGCAGGTGGGTAGGGCGAGGTGGCTCCTCATGCTGGGATTGGTGTTATAAAAGAGAAAGACAGCCACAAAGATACCCCCACAATAGACTGCTGGCAATGGTCGAGAGACAGCCGGGACTGACCTACTCTGGTGATGGGATGGCCAAACACCCTAATAGTTGTGCCAGAAACCCCATCCAAGGACTGAGGAATCTGGATGCAGAGATCCACGGCTAGGCTCCGGGTGGAGCGCCGGGAGTCTAATTAGCAAGAAAGAGGAGGATTTATATGACCGAGAATTGTTGAAACCAAAGTTGGATAAAGCACAGGGACAAATAGCCAAACGAATGGAAACATATGAACTATGAACCAAAGGCTGAGGGGTCCCCAACTGGATCAGGCCCTCTGAATAGGTGAGACAGTTGATTGGCTTGATCAGTTTGGGAGGCATCTAGGCAGTGGTACCAGGTCCTGGGCTCATTGCATGAGTTAGCTGTTTGAAAACTGGGACCTATGCAGGGACGCTTGGCTCAGTCTGGGAGGAGGGGACTGGACCTGCCTGGACTGAGTCTATCAGGTTGATCTCAGTCCTCAGGGGAGGCTTTGCCCTGGAGGAGGTGAGAATGGGGGGTGGGCTGGGGGTAAGGGGAGGGAATGGGAAGGGGGAGAACAAGGGAATCTGTGGTTGTTATGTAGAACTGAATGGTATTGTAAAATAAAATAAAAGGAAAAAAATAAAAATAAAAAGAGAAAGACAGAGAGCATTGTTTTTCTCTGTAGGTGAGCACAGAGGACAGAGGTCTGTGTGAGAACATAGAGAGATGGCAGCCATCTGCCCGCTGGGAAGACAGCCCCACTAGGAGCTGACAGACCCCACCTTGCCCTTAGGTTTTCCAGCACCCAGAGCAGTGAGGAAAAAGTGTGAGTTCTTCACAATGCTCACAGCCGAACACAAAGCTGATGTTATGGGGCCTCCAGTGAACAAAGAAGCCTTCTCTGGGACCTACAGCAGCCCTACAACCAGGCATTGTAGTTTGAGGCCTGGCCCTGCGAGGCTTCTGAAGCTCGCTCCAGCCCTACCCATGGCAGCCTTTCATACGAACAGACTGTGCTGCACACTGGGATATATTTTGGGAACCACTAGTGATGAACTAAAACACAACCCCCAACTGTTTGACCCTTTTCCCATTGACAGATGAGGTCTGTGTCCCATTTCCTTGAATGTGGGGTGCCATGTGATGTCTTTAATCAATAGGGCCTGGGGAAAGTGCTGCCATATGACTCACAGAAGACAATACAGTGTCTTCCTTGCCCACTGGGTGACTATGGTAACTTAAGCTGACAAAGAACTCTCCCACCCTGAGGCTTCCCTGCCAGGAAGGCTGTATGTAAGAGTTCAGGGCACAGTGGAACGCAGGCTTCCATGGCTCGCCAGGTACCCGGCACAGGTGTAGAAGTTTCTAGTCTCCTGCTCTAATTGCCCTGACCTTTAGCTTTTCTCTTTGCCATCTCCAGATGTTTCAGAGTAGAGATAAGACACTGTCACTGTTCCATGGTTGAGTTCCTGACCTGTCCAGTCTGGAGCACCAGAAAACTATGGTTTACACCCCCGATCTGGGGTTGTTTGATACATAGGATCCTCCCTGCATTGACAGGTAAGGACAATAAACATAGACAGAGAAGGTGACTAGGTCAGAGTCGTGGAGCCCTCATGGCAGAGCCAGAGCCCATCCCCCATGCTGAGCCCATGCCTTTTCTGTCCTGACTTCTCACTTCAGGAAGTGCCTATTCCCTTGGGGCCACTCTTTGGAGTTTGCAAACTAGAACACATTCAGAGACCCTGTCTGAAATCAGGATCCAGGAGGGGCAGTTGGAAGGACTACAGAAATTTAGCTTGGGCATTCTTAGTGGAATACGTGGCCTGCTTCTGATAAACCATTGTTGGGAAAGAACAAACATTTTGTGCTTTGGTGGAGCATGGCAAACAGTGGGCACGATGGGGCAGATTCAGCCGAGGTGGCAAGGGCTCTACAGACCCAGGAAAAAGACAGCGCCATCCAAGAATCCAGTAAGTCCGCATCTCTGGCTGCGGCCAAGTATACCCTATATACGCCGAGTTCAGCAAGGACCCCCCTGGGTGCAGGAGTGCTGTAGAATACAGAGAAGCTTCAGCTAACTATAGTGCCCTGTCTAGCCCTGAGATAATGGAATTTGGGCCACAAACTAGGAAGGGAATGCAAACAATCATCATTTGGAAGTTCTGTCCCCAGAGCAACATTGGACACATGTCACTCCAAGCGTTCCCTTAGGGAAATGTCCACAGGTTCTCCCCCTAAAGCTGTTTCTCACTCTGAGCACCGCTAAACATCCACCCATAGAGCTGGGCAATGGCTCACAGGGTAAAGGGCTCTCACTGTGCAAGCCTGAGGACTTGAGAGGGGATCCCCAACACTCACACAAAAGCTGGGCATGGGTTCCATGTCTGCAACCTCATTACCAGGGGAGTGCAGACAGGCAGGGCCCTGGAGCCCACCTGTCAGTAAGCTTAGTGGACATCGTGAACTCCAGGGTCACTGAGAGACCCTGTCTCAAAAATGAGGTAGAAAGCCAGGCAGGGTGGCCCACACCTTTAGTCCCAGCAGGCAAATCTCCGAGTTTGAGGCCAGCCTGGTCTGCAGAGCTAGCTCCAGGACAGCCAGGACTTCACAGAGAAACCCTGTCTGTCTCAAGAAACAGAACAACAAAAAATAAAGGTGGAGAAGAAATTGAAGAAGACAATTTGATGTTGACCTCTGGCCTCCCCAGTAGGCAAGCATCCCCTCCACCCCAGTGCACACACACATACCCTGTACAAATCCACAGACTTTTTGAAAGTACAAATATTTATGGTTCTGAAAGCTCAATGAATATTAGGAAAAGTTCTCTCAGCTTCTTCAGGCTTGGAGACCACAGGAGGAGGTCAGGATTCATAAGCGGGGTTGGGTGTCTTCCTAATCTGCAGGCTTCACCATGGAGGGAACAAGTAGCTGAACTGGCCAAGGCCTGGAGAAGCCTGAGTCTCTTGGGCTACAGTGGACTCGGGTCAAGACTGGTTCATAGTCTAATCTAATGATTGTTATTAGGACGGTGTAAGAATTTTTGTCCATCAGTGAATGTTACAGACATCCCAAGTGGCAGAGATATGGCTCTTTCTCAGTTCCCATGGCTGTGTTTTCTAAAATACCAGGGCTCTCCTCCGACACTCCCACTGGCTGCCTGATGATGTAGCTCATGGGCTAAGACACCTGCTAGAAATCCATGTTGGTTGGCTCCTTCTCCAAAGACCCTGATTCAGTAGTTGGGTCAGAGTCAAGACATCTATGTAACCGGTGCCCAGGAGCTTTTTTGGGAGGAAGGAGTGACCCCTAAGCTCCTGCTTGTTCCTGCACGCCGATGTTTCTGTTTGGTCAGAGGTAATGCTAGGGTGGGCCTGGTGCGATACCTAGAAAAGACTCAGCGGAGAGGTGCAAAGACGAACCCAGGCTGGTCTCACCTTCTGGGTCAGAAGCACTGGGTGAGAAGCACCGGAAGTTGGGGGACAGAGACTAAAAGCTGGACGAGGTGTTTCCCCACCCCCACCCCACCGACGGTCAGGGCCGAAGTTGCCCGCCCTGTGGCTCAACTTCCTGCCCTTGGTCTTCGGATGTCTTCAGGGGTCACTGCCCACAAGGTTCAGCAGGGCATTCTTGTAGTCACCACTGGTGTCGCCCTGGAGGAAGGAGGCACATGTGGCTTAGAAGGGGGGATTTGTGATGTTGGCCTTGCTCCTCGGTTACCTTGACTAAAAATTGTGCTCCTTGGGTGGGGCCTGTCCCTTCAAGGGTTTCTACACCACAGTTCCGTGTAATGCCATCCCTCTTCTTCCTCATCTCAGGCTATTCCTTTGATTCCTCTTTTGATTCTCTGTCCAGCTAAATGGGCGGGGGTGGAGGTGGGGGGGTTGTGGGAAATGACTGACAGAGATTGAGCCACTCCTAAGCTCTTAGACGAGGAAGGCTTGTGGGTGGTTTCCTTCTAGAGTCAACTTCCCCAGGGTTCTTCCTAACGTTTCTCTCAGGACCAGGGATGCAGAGCCATTCACTTACACAACATGACCTATATGTATTCAACACCTGCTAGTGCACTTCAGGGAGCCCCGCTGAAAGCAAGGAACCCAGAGTCACATCTAGACATAGAGCATGGGACAGAAACAGCTTGGGTTTAGGTCCTGCAGGCCTGGAACATGGTTCTGTTAATGCACCAGAGCCCCCTTTCGCCTCCCTGAGACCTGTTCTCTCATCTGTAAATGTGATGAGGTACACCTTGTGAGTGACCTAGCAGCAGCACTGGCTGGCCTGTGCTTAGTCTCTTGTTTCCTGACAAGTTGACTGCGAAGTCTAAAACACAGCAAATGATAATTCTAACTCCTCTGTCCTACTGTCTGCCTCCCTGATGCCATCCTGCCTGAAACCTCTTAAAGCAGTGCTTTTTAAATATACAGTTGTCCCTCAGTATCCATTGGAGAATGGTTCCAGGACCCCATGGATACCAAAATATATATGCCCAAGTCCCTGATAGGTAATGCCACTGGCCTTGGCTATAAATTATGCACAATCTCCTATACTGTAAGCAATCTCTAGATTATTTATGATATCCAATCAATGGAAATACTATGTAAATAGTCATACCACACTTTTCAGGGAACAATGACAAGAAAAAAGTATGTACATGTTCGGTACAGATACATCTTTTCCTGAATGGTTTTGGTCCTTGGTTGTCTGAACCAGCAAATGCACAGGGCCAGTTATATGTAAACTGTGAATTGCTTCTCAAGCGTAGTCAACAATCCACCCTGGTAGGAGAACTAGCCACTTGACTGAGCAGCTAAGGAAGACCTGGGGATGGATATGCTTGCCATGATTTGACTTCTGGTAATGAAAAAATGTGTTAGCTTCTGGACAGGCTGCTGGTTTCAGTCATAGCGTGATGCCGTCCCTCTACACTTAGCACCCTGGCACTTCCACTAATTGGAAAGTAGGTGAGTGATCACTGGAGCCTAAGAGTTCCCTACTAGGACTCCTTAGATCTGGGTTGGGAGGGAATTCCGATGTCTATGGAACTACTTAGTGTCATCGCTCCTTCAGAAATGGTTCCTTTCCCGAGGTTTTGGTGTATTCCACAGCTCAAATGCAAAGCCCCTTTCTGGGACAAGGGCAGCCCCCTGAGCTCCGTTAGTCTCCACATACTCTTCTGCTACATCCATAGTTACACTTCCCTCCTTCCTGGTCCCTGCATGTGCCACATGGTAACCAGTACAAATGTGAGATACCCACTGAGAAGGGATGGTCACCTGTGACATCAGTCATAACACCCCATGTCCAGGAATGTCTGTGTCACAAGTTGGCAGTAAAGTTGGGGACCTGTGTCTCACCATGATCATGCTGCTGAGAGTCTTGCCATACATCTTCTGGAACTGACACTTGATAAGGTTTAAATCAATCTCGCTCCTTGAAACGATGTTCCTTATCAGCGTCCCATCACGTGTCCCTGCTCCCTGGATAAGACAGTGACAATCAACCGCCATGTTGCACATTTCCTGTCTACCTCTGTAATGATGGACAAACCTGCGTGGGGATTTATAAAGGGCTAGACGTGAGGGAATGGGCCTCTGCTTCAGCGGGGAGAACACAGGGGGAGGGTTTTGATGACACAGTTTTTTCTTTTCAAACTTCTTTTCTTTGGTGCTGCTAGGGATTGAAGCCCAGGACTTGTGCATGCTGGGCAAACACTCTAGCACCGAGCTGCATCTACAGCCCATGACAAAGGGCTCCTCTTTCTCAGTCTCCTCACTCATTGGCTGTGCCTTTTCTTATTAGCAGCCCACTGCCTCAAGTTGCGGTATGCATTTGATTTACTGCACCAGGTTCTAGCCACAAAACTCTCACCCCTCCAGGAAGATTTCTTCTTTGGGCAGCATCACTGTCAAGGTTACTCCACTGGCCATTTCATGAGCAGGACCTTCTGGCTCTCTCTCATCCCTGACTAGTCTTGAGTCAGATGGAGCTTAAGGACCACACTCTCTCCTTCATGGGACAAGGTGTTCAGAAGGCTTGGGGGTGATGGTATGACTCTCGCTTTAGATGGTGCCAGCGTCATGTACTAGAGAAGCTGGGCACTGACATTAGTCACTGATAATTACTGTAAATGTCTCTCCTCCAGTGTAGTTAGTTCCCAATCGCAGCAGGTCTACTTGTAAGGAGCAGCATGTCCATTTCTGCGGCCAGGGAAGCCTTATAAACAACAGGCACTCTGAAGCTAGCATCTGGTCATGGGTAGGAAAACTGACATGCCAGATGTGGTAACATCCCTAGAGTCTGCCCATGTCAAGGGTGTTGGGGTTCCAGCTGTGCCCACATAGGGCCTGCAACAACCAATTTGTTCTCAAAGAGGAGGTATGGTGTAAATAAAAGCACAGCCTGATGGGTGCAAGATTGATGCATGGCTCAACCACTTAGCAGCCATGTGATCTTGAACAAGCCTTAGTTCCACCACACTTCAGATGGCAGTTGTGATATGGGCCTCACAGAGGTGTCAAGGTTCAGTGAGCCGTCAAGGAATACCCGTCAATGCAGCTGCTCAAATGTACCTTCCGGAGATGAGGCTTCCCTTCCCTAGGCCTAGTTTGCCATCTGGGAATGCAAACCCTTCTGATGCATGAGAGAGTAGAACAAAGGGACCCAGAGTCAGCGGCTCTGAGCACCCGGGCGGTGCATCTGACATCATACAGGGCTGACTCTAAAGGAGGCAGCAGCCAGGACAGTTACCTTCATGGCGTAGTGGAGTCTCTCTGCAAAGTAGCTGTGGAGGTTCCGAGTGCATTTCACTGGCAAACAAGAAAACTCTATTAATAATAGCAGAAGGGTGTAGGTGGTGTTGCATATTCTTGTGTTTGCTTATGTGTTCCTGTGGGCGTTAAGGGTTAGTATTGTGTAAAGGTTGACAAGTTTCTTTGTGTGCCACCCAGCTTCAAAATGAAGGCTTTGTGTGGGGCAGAGAGAGTGGGACAAGGAGCAGAGCCTTGGGCAATGGGCACAGCTCCAAAAGCCCAGAGCAGCCAGGCCAAAGGCTGAGATGTGAAATGCACTGGGCACCTGTGGGACTCATCTGGAGTCACCAGCTTGGGTCTTCTAGAGGACATCTTTAAGCTGTCACATTCAGGAAGCATCTCCACTAAGAATTTGATGACTTGGTTCCACATAGGTTGCCACAGAATGGTGGCTACTGGTCTCAAAACGTTGGAAACCCACGTTTTGAATTTTCATGTAACAAAAGAGGCTTGGCTTTAAGAACTAAGGTGCCAAGAGTCCTTGGCCTGGAACATGGACCTCAATTTTTCCTTTCCATAGAAATGTCTTTCATGGATTGTGACACCTGTGTTGGGTGATGGTGTTTTAACCCAAGACTTTGAGAGTGTGGGCTGTGTGGGAGGTAGGAATGTACATAAACTCTGTCTTGACTCTGTATGACTTCGTTACTCAACCTTCTGACACATCTATGACATGAGGGTGACTAAGACTTGAAGAAAAAAATGAGCAGGAACTGCCCATCGCAGTGTGGTCCTGCACACCTTTGCTGTTTAGGAGGCATTAGTATTTAGGGTCTATGGGTAGAATCCTAGGTGACATCAGAGGGTGTGGTTAGCTCTTGCAACATAGAATAAACCAAATAAACTTTACCACAGTCATCATCAAAGCTGGCCTGAGAAGCTCAGATGTTAGTAGCTACTGGAGACATGGAAATAGAGAGAGGAGACCTTAGCTACTGGCCTCAGAGGCAAGCCTGGGGTGGAGGTAAATGCCTAGCCTAGGAGTCTTCATCTCAGCTCCATTATGTAAGGTGATATAGGGGTGTCCTTCTGCTTGCCTCAGGTGCCTGCTCTACTGTGAGTCTTCCCATATGGTTTCAGCTTTATACCCAAGATGTGCTATGGAGAGGTTATGGTAAGCTGACTCAGTCTTCTGTTGCAGGCAAAGTTGTCCATGTTTCTCTTGGTTGGGACTCAAATCACACACCCTCATTTCTTCAGTTAGCTACTGAGGTGGTGGTGGCTTGGTACTTAGATTAGGTCCAGAAGGTGGCTTTGGGCAGGGCTACAGGAGCAGAGGCAGAATGCTCTCCAAGTATTCGTGGGTAGTCCTGGGCCCTGGTTCTGGAGTCACTGAGGTAACACTCGTGTGTATACACACTCACAAACACACTCATGAAACATGGGGGACTATATAGACAGCACAAAGAATAGTTCTCAGCAGGCCACACTGAGACTCTTGAGTTCCGGGGTTCCGGGGACCTGGGCTAAAGGGCTAAATGCTTGAGAGCATTGGGGGTGGGGAAGTGTGCCTTGAGTATAGAGCTCCAGTCACTTGCTATCACCTTCCTGGCTGTAGATGCATGTGCCAAGGGCCAAGCCCCCTTCTTACCCACAGTGAGCATGGCCTCCTCCAGCGAACCATGGGTCTCACTCTTGATGCTGTCCTCAATGCTCTTGTTGGCAATTTTTTCATATTCCTCGAACACTATGGAGAGAAGGAGTTACTCAAGGGACACATAGATTATATACTGCACATCAGTGTGCCATCTTTGCCTCCCTCGTGGCACAGGGGGAAGAGTTCAGGTATCCATGGCTCTCTTCCCAAGCCTAAGCCACATAAGACTACACATGAGACCTTCCACACAAAGAACAGGTCATGCACCTAGGGCGCCATCCCCCCCTGCATTTCCCCCTCTGCCCCGTACCTCTCATCAGGTGAGTGGCACTGCGTGTGCACAGGATGGTGATGAATTTCATCTCATCGGTCCCATGGATCTTCTCACCCGCTGCATACAGATCCTAGTATTGAGACATGAGGAGGTGAGGGAGAGCGCCAGAGCCCCAGAGCCAGGGCTGGGAGTTAGCTACCATTCACTTGGACAGTCCAATATGGCGGCTCACTGCCCTGAGCTCCTGTTCCACCAATAGTGTTGGCTCAAGGCTCTTCTCTGTCTGGGGCCAGAAGCTGCTTTAGGAAATGCTCCCTCTCCCATTGCTCCGAGAACATTGGGTAACAAGCACTCTCCCAATGGACGGATACCCAGAGATCTGCGTATGAGTGAGCTCTGGGCTCGGAGAGGATGGCTCTGCCAGGAGCACCCTCATTCCTTCACTCCCCAGCTTCTCCATTTTCTTCTGCGCTTCTCAGATACCTCACGTTCCTCCTTAGTCACCACAAGGTGGAGGCTGTAGGGTGGGGTCTGTGCTAAAGATAACTCCCTTGGCAAAGGGGACCATAAAGCTCAGGGTTCGGGTGTTAAAGCTGGGGCACAGAATCACCTGTGCATCTTGGAGGGCCAGTCCTGGGTCCACAAAGCCGCTCACGTCATCTCTGCTGCCCTAGGATCAGAGGAAACCACTCTGTAAGGTAGGTCACCAATCAGAACACACGGGCTTAGGGACAGTGGGGTCAGAGGCAGGTAAGGAAGGACTGCTGCTTCCTGGCCATGAGACAAGCCAGCCAGCTGTCTTCATGGCTCGTTTTTGGCATTTGTAGGATGGGAGGAGATGAGCTACTTCATTGCAATGGTGGATTCAGTGAGCTAAGCTGGGCAGAGCCTGGCATGGGGGCCACACAAAAGCTGAGGGAAGAGAGGCATGGGCTCTGCAGCCAGGACCCTCCCCTCAAGCCGAGGCACAGCTGGTGCCCCCAGACCACTGGGTTTCGCCATAGCTCAGCCCTCACTCAGAGGCATTGCTCAAGAGCTGCTGCCGGGGTGGGATATGGATATGGATCTCCAAGCCACAGTCCTGGAGTCTGGGTTGTGATACCTGCAGGAGGCACACCAGAATCCGCTCCAGGTAGCCACTTGTGTCTGCTTGGATGTCTTCTTCCAGGCTAGACCCGTAGTCTGCAGGAAAACAGAAGCAGAGGGCATGAGCAGTGACTGACCCAGGGCCCACCAGTGCCCACTTTCCTCTCCCATACCTACTTCCTCCTCTTTTCCCCATGGGAGGACAAGTTCTTGGCACAGAAGGTGTACCCATACCAGTTAGATGTCCTGGTGGTAGCCACCCATCTAGGTGATCATTCAGACCCCAAAGTGCCATAAATGCACAACCAAGCCAAAGGGAGAAATAGACTAGGCCGGAGATGCAGACCAAGGCCTTCGGATTGAGACCATTATATTGCCAGATTCAGCAAAGTCACAGCCTTCAGACGACCCTGGCCAGGAGCACAATGTGGAGGACTGGCTGGCCTTTGCTTGCCTGGCAGGCTGTGTACTATGTGGGAGAGCTGGCCAGTGGGGCTCCTCTAGCACAATGTGGCCCTAGCAGATGACCCTCTCCAGAGTTCTGGCTTAGCCCATGGGCAGCCAGTAAGGACTCTCCTGTCCACTGCTGCCTCTGTTCCCCAGTACTGCCACAGCCTTAAGGGACATGAGCTCAGCTGGGCACACATCTCTCTCCCCATGTCTGAGACGTGCTCAGTCTCTGTTGGGCACAGGATTTGGCACATGTAGGTACTGGGTGGACCTGAGTGAAAAGACCCTCCAAAGGGACCTTTCCAACACGGCCTAGTTCCCTTGGGAACTGCCTGACTCTTATTCCCTGACAGGCTGCCAAACCTCGGCCATCTTTGCAACCCCCTTACCTTCCTCATAGGCTTTCATGATCTCTCTCAGATGGTTCTTGGTCCGAGAAGCCAGGATCTCAATGATGACTCCTTCTTTGGTCCCTAAGCCCTGGGGACAGAAGCCTCTATGTTCTGGAGAGTTCTGCCCTTGGTCTCCTGCTCTGCCTGTATTGTTTTCTCAGGAGCTGTGGCCACCGCTCTGCCCTCTTCTGATGGGGCGTATGTTGAAGGGTGATATTGAATGCCCACCTTTTTCTTGTGACAACTATTGGGGCAAGGTGTCTCAGCCCTCCTTCTTTATCTGGGTGGTCTCACACAGGTGCTGACAGCTCCCCATCCTCTGTCGAAGAGGATGAGAGCCAACCGACCCTACCCTGAAGGTGAGATTAGAGATCACAGCTGTGAAATGCCTGGCAGAGACCACGGAAGTATCCTTTCAGTAGGAATGACTGTGGTTTCTGGGTCTCCATCGCTACTAATCTGTAAAGGTAACAGGAGCTGTGAGAAGTGAAGGATGACCGAAGGGCAGGGCTTGGACTGTAGAGATGGGTTTCTGGCTCCCCTGCACTCCTGGTCCAACCCTATTGTAAGGCCCTGATCTGGGCCTTCACTGTGACTGGCCAGCCCCGCTGGTGGGTGGCTGGTTGAGCAGGTTGCAAGCTCATGAGGTAAGCTGGGGCCCCGGTGACCACTCTAATGTATGGCAAAGGGGAGTACCTTCATGGCATCGTGGAGCTCCTTGGCCTCGTATCTGTATGGCGGGTACATGAGGGCCACGATGAGTCTCTCAAATTTGCCACTCAGCTCTGACTTCAAGGTCTCAGTGAGGTCCTAAGGCGGGCAAAGGGAAAGGTGAGATGACTTGTCCTCCAGGCCCACCGGAGTGCAGGCAGCAGGTGGGGCCTGGCCTGGAGACTCTTCTTCCCACATGACGGAGGTGCCATGCTGCTGTGGTCGGTCTCGTGGGCCAGGAGCCTCACTAAGCATCGTCATCTGTACCTGTTCAACAGGGATAATGGACCTTCTGCTTCATACCATGGCTTATGGACTGACAGGGATGTACGGCAACTCTGCGAACATTCTGGGCACATTCTAAACTCAAGAAAATAGAATTGCCATTGCTTTCAAGATGGCAAATTCTGGGCGTGGCAGCATCATGCTTACGTCATTAAACGATTCAGTGAGGGGAGAAAAAAAAACAAATGAGGGAAAGAGGGAAGAAGGGAAAAGATTCTGAGATTCCATCTCATACCTGTCTCTTTCTAAGGGCACACACGTCTACAAGAAGCCACTAAGCCACGCCCAGGTGATCCTTACAGGGCTTTGTCAGACCTGTTGCTTACAAGCTCTGGGACCTCAACAAGTCACTGCACCTCTCTGATGTTGGATACTGAGGACAATGTGTAGCTTGGAGGGGTAAGGAAAAGGAGTTGCTAATGTGTGGTTTCACTGGGGATGTTTGCACTCCATCACGGGTGTTTTTGTGTTAAATCTGTGAGCAGAGGGGGAAGCTCCAGGCACCCATGTCTAGGCACAAACTTCTGTCAGTGTGTACCTCTAAGTTCCTGGCTCTGTGCTAAGAGCAGCTGGAGTGCCCTGGAGAGCAGAGCGGCAGGAGAGATGAGGGACGTGCAAGGGAACATGAGAAGCATGTGTCTGTGCTGTGGGACAGAAGGGAGCCAGGGCATGCACTGCCAGGTAGCAGGGAAGAGGGAGGCCGGTGTAGACAGTGGGGACAGACAGAGCTGAAGAGAGCCGAGGCTGGATCCTGAGGGGAAACTGAGAACTGTAGGGAGAAAGAATGGAGAAGAAACAGGGCCCGGCCATGCAAGGCCAATGCCAGGCCAGGGCTCAGGAGCTATAAATGGGTCTGCCAGATAAAGCAGAACAGTGGGAGCATCAACTACAGATGACTGGAAGGGTCATTTTAATGCAATGTCTCCTGTGCGTATGTGTCCATGCCCGGAGGAGCTGCCCAGTCTTCAACACCCTTCTCGCTTACCTTGCCAAACTGAGCCTTGAAGGACTTGGCAATCTGCTGCCTCTGCACATTGCTTCTCTTGGTGAGCACATCTATGATGGCCTGCTCATTGGTCCCTGCAAGGGTGTACAATGTGAGAATCCCTTCTTCCTCTGGAGGCATCAGAAAAGACTGGGGAGAGGAGAGGGGAGGAGCCTGCTGGCTGGGCAATTGGGCCATACTATCTGAATAGCCCCAAATGCCTAATTTCCATGGTGTAAACAAGGCACCCAGGTAGCTCACCTCTTGATTCCCCACTTCCAACTTACATAGTGTTGGGGTGTGGCTCAGGCTGACTTCATAGTATAGGAACCAGTGACAGGGGTCTTTGGACACCAGCCTTTGAAGTATGACCTGGTGAGATATCCTCACCCTCTTCCCTTATGTTGGTCACATTAGAGGAAGGTCATGACCAAAAGTCCAGACCATTGTGTCTGAGACCCTGCCTTGTAGGTCTTGTGTAGATCATGGACAAGTAGGCTCATCTCCTGGAGCCTCCATTTGCCCAGGTGGGAAGCAGGGATAATAATAAAGATTTCACAGGTAGCAGTGGGTGTGAGAATCTGGTATAGGCACCTCTGGGAATGGTAGTTTTCTTTAGCACCCCAACTCACTAGGCAGAGCCAGCCAAAGGGGTGACTCCGACCTGGAGTGAGACCCAGTCCTAGCATAAGTCAGTCCTTTCCTGTTCACAGTCATGTGAGGGTGCTGGAAGAGGTTGGCTGTCTGGCCAGCCAACATGGGGCAGGGGACAAGCTGCAGAATCCACGTGGCTGGTACCCCTGGCGCAGCATCTAAACTCCCATCTCCATGCCACAGCAGGCCCTGTGCCAATCCATCTTCTTCTGAATTCACAGTGACACTGTGGGTCCAGAGTTCTCGCAGCCATTTTACAAGTGAGAAACCTCAGACTGACAGCCTTCCCTGTCGTTCTCACTTGGGAAGGAACAGTCACTGACCTCAGAGCTGGTGTGATTCCCTGGGTAATGGAGTCACTCGGAATGAAATGGAGACACCTTTAATGCCTGACTGTCCCTGGTCTCTCCCTTCTGGGGATGTGAGCATGTGGGGCCCCAGTGGTCAGGCCATAGATGGTTACTCACCAATCCCCTTCATGGCTTTGTAGAGGGTCTCCGCATCAGGGTCTGGGTTGAAGTGAGAACTGCCCTTCACAGTGACGCCCTCCTGTTCAACCTGCAAGACAGCCAGGCCTGCTCATCGTGGGAAGTACAGGGAGGGCATAGGGGCCTCGTAGGCCACCCTGTTAGGCTAAGGACCTGCCCTAGGCACTGAGACAGATGGAGCCCTGCAGAACAGTGGCTGAGCTCTCCTGCCCCTTAGCTAACAGGCAGGTGTAGCTGGGACCAGAGGCAGCAGTTAAGAGGCGTTGGTTGTTCTCCCAGAGGGCCCTGGTTCGAGTCCCAGCACACACATGGCAGCTCACAACTGTCTATAACTCTGGTTCCAGGACTTCTGACACCCTCACAGAGATACATATGCAAGCAAAACACCAATGAACAAAAAATGAAAATAAGTTATCTATATCTATACTAACACACACATACACACACACACACATACACACACACACACACACACAGAACAAAACAAAACAAACAAAACAAAACCATCTGTTGACTGAGAGCAGGTAGCAGACTGGTCACATGTACCTTTCTCCAGGCTCGTGCGCAACAGGATTGATTGGTGGAAATGAATTCATAAGGAATGATTTCTAAAAGCTGAGTGCCTGACTAGGGAATGGGGAGTTAGGCATGTTTTTGTCTTTGCAAGGAAAGCTCTAAACCTGTCCTGGTCTTTCCTATGATGAGGTGTGGGTATTCCACAGGGCCAGGGGCTAAGATGAGCATCTCTCTCCCAGACTCAGGTAGTTTGCAAAGCCAGGGGACCAATTCAGGTAGAGGGTTACATTTAGAAAGAACTGTGTGATGTTCTACAGATTATAGAATAAACTTGATAACCAAAGTTCACAGACCCTTGTCGACAAGCCTCCAATCCAGGGCATGCGCAAGGGCCGCTTATATGTGTGTTCTGCATAATTTATCAGATGTTTTAGACGGCCCTTCGAAAGTGTGTGTTTTAGGGGAAGGAGTGGTAAGGAGTGGAAGGAATTGAATGGGGGAGACCCAGGTCCTTCAGATGGAGACTTCAGTCACACCCATGCTGGTCATTCACTCACCTGTTCACCGGCTCTTCCACTGTTCCCACCCACCCACACGCTTTCCTACCCACCCCATCACCTACCTGTTCACTAATTCTCTACCCACGTACACAACCCCCACACCATCTCCTGCTCCTCCCCTCCTCCCCACTTCCTCTTTCCTTCCACTCCCCTCTCATTTCTTCCCCTCCCCATTTCCTTCCTGTTTTTGTTTCCTTTCAAGCATCCTCCATCTATCTCTCCCTTTTCCCCTCCGTTGATTTATCCATCATCCATCCTTCCACCCAAGCCTCAGGGTAGATCCTGAAAATACAGAACAGGTCCTCATAGATGGTATGTCCTTAAGAGTAAGAAACAAAACATCTTTCTGCATCCTTTGCTTGATCTTCATGTCCCATCTATCGTACCATGTTTTATAACAGGAACTGTGGGAAATAATTCCTGGGGTGAGCCAGTGTGATCTCAGACGCTGCCCCACTGTCCACACACACATAGTCCTTGTTGTGAGGTCACGTGCGGCTACTAGTCGAAGGCCTTTGGAGCATTCCCTCTGTAAAGTGCACCGGCCATAATGCTCAGCTCGTCCCCATCCCAGCAGTCATATTAGGTGTTAATGCTCCGAGGCACAGGCCAGGAGGCTGGTTTTGGTGGCAAATGGTGTTGCTGGCATTTCACCCACAGCCTGACTCAGAATCTGAGCTGTCTACCTCTCCCACTTTACAATGATTCACTCTTCCCCAGACGCTGGGTTTTGGGGGATGTTTCACTGCAGAGAGCCTCACCCATAGGCATGCTGGTATTCTGGGAGCGTGGGGGTGAGGAACATTTACGTTCTCACTTCCTCATTTGCTCCCTGCTCCAAATTGACCTCAGAGATCTATGGACTGAGGAGGGTCCCACACCCTTCAGGGACCAGGATTTGTCAGCAGCCCTAGGGCTGGAATATCCCCACATTGAGTAGTCTGTCTCACTTCCCTTGCTAAGGTTGTTATAGAAAGAGGGCAACATTCTGGGAGCCTGTCTGGAGTGGAGATCTATCTGGAGGCATCAATTTATTCCAGCCCCTGTAGGTCGGTCTCAGGCTCCTGATGGAGCTACCCTGAGGCCGGTGAGTCCAGACAGGTACATCCCAGGCAAAGGTAATTCAGCCTGTCCTAGTTTCTATGTCTAGAACACCTTCCGTCACAGGCACGAAGGAGCTGCCATACTTTTTTGCCTGATCCCTTCACAGGCTGCTTCCTCAAGGGGATCAAGGGGACCCTGTTCTGAAGACAGGCCCACTCTGGCCATTCTGCCACTCCCTAAGTCCTGTTTCTGATCCAGCTTTGTGCTCAGAGGACATTTGGTCCTCACTGGCTGCCTAGCCAGACACAGAGGCCTTGTTGTCCCGAGTCAGCTCTCCTAAGGGTCAATGGCCCGGAATGACTGAGTCTGTGTCTGGACTCAGGCTGCCCAGACCTAAACACTTACTAGTGTGGCAACTTCCACGCCTGTCTAGTGCACCTGAGTCTCGGTTTCCTGACGTGTGTGTGCGCGCGCGAGGCCATCGATACCTGCCTTACAGACTTCGTGCGAGGCTCTAACGACACTGAATGAGAGATGCCTGTAGCAGTGTCCCCACACAGAAGGCTCTGAGAGTGCCAGCATCATCATCATCGTCACTCTGACCAGGTCCCCAAGAGGTTGGCCCTTACTCCTGCCCCTCGGAGTGCAGAGCCCGGCATCGGGCCATTTGGTCCAGCAGCTGACTTTAGGAACCGCTCCACACTGAGATCTCCCTGCTGTACAGCTGGAGAAGCCACCGTCCTGGCTGCTTCCCTGAGGGAAGTGACAGCCCCTTTCACCCTGTCTTCTAGCCTGTCCCACCTGTCCAGAGCCCAGGGCTTCTACACCTAATGCTCTTTCTGGATAGTGACAGTGTAACAGAGATTTCTCTGAAGCTGAACAAGCTTGGGGCTACAAAGATCCCGAGGGCTGCTGCAGAGACTCAGGCTGTCTCTGGTCTAAGCTTGCTGATGAGGGACCTGAGCAAGCTGCCTGATGTCCCAGAGCCTCCGCTTTCTCTCCGAGAGTGCCCAGCTGAGAAGGAAGCCTTGTGCCTGCTCGTGCGGCGATCCCGTTGTCCATGGCTCCCATGAGCTAGGTCCCGCTGCCATGTCCCCCATCTCCTGACTTTGACACATAAGCACTGGTATTCTGTGCTTGTACTCCCTCCCGTACCTTGAGCCGTGGGTATTAATGGTTTCCTTGGACGGCAGTGTGTTTGCCCAGAGCATTCTCTGGCTTAAGGTGCTCCAGGAACCCCCTGTTGTTCAAAAGTTAAGCTCCTTAGACTCCTTAGACTGTTATTCAAGGCCTTGATGCTCCACCCTGGCTGCCTCTCCAGGTCTAGATTCAGCCCACTCGGGACATTCAAACCACACAGAGCGAGTTTCCTCCAAAGCTTTACATACCGCTACTCTGTAAGGAACAGCCTTCCCTCCCGGAGTCTCTCCAAGCACAAACTCACACCCTGCACATGTGCACAAGGGTCCTTCTGTTAAGTGCTTTTCCCTGCAGAAGCCTCCCTCTGGACTCTCTTACCCTTCAGCTTCCCCTTTGCATTTCAAGGTTTTTTTTTTTATACATCTCTGTAGTAACTTTTATAATCATGGGCAGATTTTTTTGTTCTTTTTTTTTTCCAGTTTCCTCACCAGGACTTGGCCCAGCAGGTTCAGCCTTTACTTTTTTTCTGCCCCCACCAAGTGCTTATCACCCAACATGGTGCAGGGACCCACCTCCCCAGATTATCCTCACTTACCCAGGCTTTCCACCAGGCCATCCTGTTTGCCTCACAGACGCTTTTCCCAGGGAGAGGAAGATCGCTAGCTGGTCTCTACTCAGTGACTAGACACGTCTGCTCCCTGGCTAGTAGGTGTGGTTGTGTACACAGGCCCAGGCCCCACCCAGCACTCCCTCCCTGCCACCTCAGGCACGGCTTGGCTCTGGGCCCCTCCTGTGGCTCCCAGGCCCCACCCAGACACTGCCTGGGCCTGCCCAGAGGATCACATCACCAGCTGCAAATGTTTGGGCTGTGGCTGCCACACAGCTTGGAACCTCTGAGGCAGCCTTTGAAAGGCAACTTGGTAAACATGGCGGTTGCTTCTCACAGGTTGGCTAGAGCTCAGTCACAGGAGAAAGGAATCCCACACGCGGCCCTACCACTTATTGCTACATGGTTAGCTGTAACAAGTTCAGCACAGGACAAGAAGACGGTAGCTGCCGTCTGTTCACTGGGGTGCACTGTGTCTAATCCCCTCGTCAACCGCCCTGTAATGCGTTCCCCTTGCATCATTACCACAGTCCTAGGAAGCAGGTACGAGTTCCATGTGCTAGAGGGGGAAACATCCCCATGCACCTAGATAGTTTGCTCAAATGACAGGTCCCGTGAGAGCAGAGTCACTGTCTGCCAGCTCTCAGAGGCTGCGAGGCTGCTGCCTCCCACTGGGGCCGAGGATATGTTAGGTGCCAAGGAGAAGGAGGACTCTCCCCAAGAGGCTCATTTTGGGGATTTGCCTACTGGTCTAAGAATGTTCTTCAGCACGGCTCTCCCTATGCCACCCTTAATTAGCGCCTCCCTATCTTTCAGCATGAAGTCGCTGCCTCTGGGAGCATCACCCAGTTCCAGGAAGGCTCCTAAATAGCTCTTTGCCCTCATAAAAACAGTTTCATGGTGACTTCAGATCCAAGGAAACCTCGCAGAATGGCGCCATGGTGTGAAATGCCAAGGTCCTGACCCCTGACTCCAGCGCTCTTTGCTCTGCACGCAGTCTTCAGCCTGGTCCTTCTTGTGGCATGGGCTGGGATGGGGGGGATGGACCCGGCCTGGCAGACAAGGGGGAGGGGGCAACTGTGCCCTAGGAAGGCAGCTACTGGGAAAACCGGAGAGCCACTGAGCAACAGCGCTGTGAGATGCCACCAAAGGAAGAAGGCTGCAGCTGCCTCTGCACCACAGGGTGGTGGAGGACCCATTCCAGGCCTTTGGAAGCTTGGATTCCCCTGCGCTTTTTAGGGTTGGTGCATACTCATGCTTGTGTGCATTGAGAGGCTTCCATCCAGGGACATCCATGTGAGTTTCTGGAGCCAGTGCTGCTGGAACCGGAAGAGCCTGGCCAAAGTCTAGCAGTAGAGGTGACTGAGATAGGTAGAGGGTACTTGGATGAAATGCCAGCCCAGGGACTTCTGGGCTCAACCATATTCCATCCATGTATCATTTATTAAGCTTCATGTCACCATGTGCCTCATGGTGGCATGATACAGCACCCCCTTATCTACCCACTGTGTGCCCACATTCCTCCTTCACTGAGCGTTGGAATCCACAGAACTTTAAAGTGCACTGGATAGGGTCTTCATAGAGGAATTCACTGTACTGTGTGTTTCCCATCACTTAGGCGGGCCCTGGGAGGGATCGCTCCAGAAAACGATGGCAGAAACTTGCCTAGGAAACTTGCGGGGGCGGGTAGGGGGAGAGCAGGGCTCAGCAAACCCAGATCCTAGTCCAGCTGAGTGCTGTGGGCCCCCAGATCCTACTCTCCCTGCCATCCATGCCTCAAAGTTCAGAGTGACGCTTTCTAGACACTGAACTGAGTACATGGTACAGGCTTTTCCCATGAGCGTAAATAGCCCTGCACACCGGAGGTGAAAGCATAGAGCAGTGGTTCTCAACCTTCCTAGTGCTGTGACCCGTTAATACACACAGTTCCTCGTGCTGCTGTGATCCCCAACCATAAAATTATTTTTTGTTGCTGCTTCATACCTATAATTCTGCTGCTGTTATGAATCATAATGTAAATATTTCTGGAGCTAGAGGTTTGCCAAGGGGGCTGTGACCCACAGGTTGAGAACCGCTGGCTGGCATAGAGGCAAGCACGGGATTCAGTTTGAGTGAAGGGCAGGAAGTCTGTTTAGCCTGGGACCCGGAGTGCTGGGAAAGGCGGTTCAGAAAAAATATTTTTCCACTGGGTCATGCAGTGTTGTAGGAACTGGCTATGCGGACGGGGGCCAAAGGAGGCCTTGGCATAGATAGTGCTTGTGTACGGATGAAGCGTGCGTGCGTGCGAAGGGTCAGGGCATGTGTGAGGGTAGAGATGAAGCCTGTGCCCAGAGCTCATTACCATTCACGTTAGCGTCCAGCAGAGGAGGGAGAGGCCTGCACAAGCTTGCAGTTGGAAAGGGAGTGGCCTGCTGCAGTTGAAAATGGCCGAGGAGTGGGCAGGAAGAAGCAGGTGGAGTTTGGGCCTGGGTGGGGCTCACAGACTAACAAAGGCTATCTGAGATGATGAGCACTCAGCTGTACTCCCCCGTCCCACCCAACGGGTGGGAAATGCAGGGCGCTGGTAAGAAGGATAGAGTACAATGTGTTCTTTGTGAGGGCCTGGCTCAGGGTGCTTAGATGGTCTGCCAAACACAATATGACTGTAGTTTAAAAGAGGTAAGGAACGTCAGGCTGCAGAGGGTTAAGTGGCAGAGGTTAGAATGTGGTGTAAACGAAGCTGCCCAGCCCTAGTGCTGGTTAGAGATGCGTGGCCCAGCACATCACATTTGAGGGAACACCTACGTGGTCCCAGAACATAAACCCACTTGGGGCCCAGGAACGGCATCTGCAGCATCAGTGGGGCACTTTTTGGCCTCTGCTCAGCATGTCCTTCAGCATCCCCCCATCCCGGGCCTCCTGGGATCTAACCCCTCTGGGTCTCCTCATCATAGCAGGCATCACTTTGGGCTTTTCCACTGTTTGCTCTGCCCAACAAGGCAGTACACACAGCTTGTGGGTTTGTGTTCTGCTTGGGCATCTTCCTGTCTGTCACCTCTGACCACGGAGAGTGGAGAGCTGCCGCACGATGAAGTCTCTCATCTGTTCCCCAGATGCCACTTTCCTCCAGAGGCAAAGTCAGCTCCCAGGGCTGCACATATCAGCTCTCCCTCTTTCCGGCTCCATCTAGCCACATTGAGTGTCTTAGTCAATTTGCTTTCAAAACGTTGCTTTCATTCTTTTTCAAACTCTGCCTTTTCCAGACCGTTCTGTTCTCTCTTTTCTTGGCTTCTTATTTCCTCTCTTCTTTAAATGTATTACAATTTGTTTATTGGAGCAAGCATAATTCTGTAACCAGCATGCCTACCTATAAGCAGGAAAAGAAATCTGAACACTATACTAGTGTATGACTGGCACTAAATTTTAACCTCTTGGCTTCTTGGATTTTGTTTCTTGACTCTCCTTGTGGAGATGCAGAGGAATCTCCCCTCCTGGATCCTCTTCTGCAGGAAGGTTTTCCCAGAGAACCCTGGGTGTCTCTAGAAGGAGTTTTGCTGAAACCGTCAAACTCTATCAGCTGCAATGAGCAAGCTGTAATAATGTCCTTGTTCACTGCAGACTCAGAGCAGTGATTCCCACAGAGTCCACAGCAGGAGGCCCTCTGAGCTATGCCCTGGGCAGGGGATGAGGTTTTTGGTTGTGTTTTAGGAATTTAGGATTGGGACAAGGTTAATTTTCCCTAGCTTTGGCTTGCAGGGGTGCAGATTCCAACTCTAAAGTCTGACAGGAAGCATTTTATCCCTTTAGGCAGAAGCCCTGTCCTTTTCTATATTTTCTATTTCTATTTTCTGAGGCAGGATCTCTCTACATAGCCCTGGCTGTCCTGGAACTCACTATGCAGACCATGCTGGCCTGGAACTCACAAAGGTCCTCCTGCCTCTGCTTCCTGAGTGCTGGGATTACAGGTGTGCACCACCATACCTGGCTTGTCTTAATTCTTTTTTTTTTTTTTTTTAAGATTTATTTATTATGTATACAGTGTTCTGTTTGTATGTATCCCTGCAGGACAGAAGAGGGAGCCAGATCTCATTGCAGATGGTTGTGAGCCACCATGTGGTTGCTGGGAATTGAACTCAGGACCTCTGGGAGAACAGTCAGTGTTCTTAACCTCTGAGCCATCTCTCCAGCCCTTGTCTTAATTCTTTAAACAACCATTCAATAATTTGACTTCGAGTTTCTTTCATTATAATATTTCTTACACATTTTCTGACACTTGGAAAACTGATCTCTCCCTTTTAGCTAAATTTTGCGTTGGTGAGTTGCACTCAGCATAGAGCCTTTGGCTAAGAGGATAAGCATGAGCCTATGTGAGCGGTTGGTAGGCAAACATCTCTGTGGGTCCCCCCACTCCTTGATATTGTCTTCAGTAGCCCAGAACAGGCACAGAAAAGGCAAACAATTGCCTCCATTGTAGTGAGTAGCCATTCCAGCTTTGACCTGGAAGTTCCAACCCCCATTGAGGCTTCGGTAATGGTCACACCTACAAGGCAGGGCTGAAAGAGAACCCTGACCTTTACCAAATCCTCAATGGGGGTTGGAACTTCTAAGTTAAAGCTGGAATGGCTACCCACTACATCCCATCCACCTGGATCCGGAGTTTTAACCTTAAAGAGGACCCAAGAAAAGGGGTCGGAGACAAGTATGGTGGCTTGGGAAGCTGAAACAGGAGGGTTATCATGGGATTAAGGTAGCTTGGGCTACATAGTGAGTCCAGGTCGACAGAGATGAGGAAGGCGTGGTTGAGGAAAAATCAGAAACATGTAGGGTGTTGGAATAAAACTGAGCCATGAGCCTGGCTCAGGGGTGGCACTGGAGAGAAAATGCAGGTGTGGTTGAGGGTTAAAATAATCTAATAAAATAATAATAAACTAATAAAATGAAATAAACTAATAAATAAAATAAAACAAAATAAAGTATGGAATGGAGGTACGTCTCTAAAGATTGTACAAACTGGAAGGTTCCATGGAGCTGGTAAGCGAATATCTGAGCTGTGTGTTTAGCAGATGGCCAGGTTCAAGACCTGTGGGGAGAAGATAACACAAGGAATAGCTCAAGACCACCACACGGGATGGGTTGTCACAGGTGTTGCCGTACCGTGAATACCATCCGGCTTTGGGATGCAGGGTGTGTGAGCCAAGAGCCCCGGTCTCCTGGAACAGAAAAAGATGAAAGATGCTGGGAGGAAGGGAGGGGCAGGCCTTTTTGACGGACACTCGATCGTGTAGGGTCCAGAGCTCCAATCTGTCAGCCCCATGGAGAGGATGGAGCTGACTGGCTGCCTCAGGGCTGGAGGCTCCCGGTTGTGACTCTGCTGTTCAGAATAGGAAGTGTGTGTTTGGTTGGGGGCTGTGTGGCTTGGGATGCACTGTGAGCGTAGAAAGGAGAAAGTAGTTCCAACCATTAGAAATGCAGTACAAAACCAGTTAATTGGAACGTAAATCTGCATTGTAGTCCCTCCCTGGAATTTGAGAGCGGCTTAGTGGACAAATGTGAGCTCTGAGCGCCACCTTCTGGAATAGTGTAGCATTAACACTGGCTTCCTCACCCTCACTCCTCAGGCCTCAGAAAGAGACCTGGGCACAGAAGGAAGAAGGGGTGAGGTTGCCTAGGCAGGAGTGTGGGGTAGACAGGTTATCCTCAGTCCCCTCTATCCCCGGGGCACAGCACCACAGATTTAGCCTTCTTGAGGTGCTCAACCCACCCTCAGACAACAGCAAACAGGGAAGAAAGTTGAGGAGTTTTAGTCACAAGCAGACATTTCAGCTCTGAGTTTGAGACGCCCGAGTTAATTCCAGGCCCCTGAGCTGAATCTCGACCTTCTAGCCTTGGTCTCTTTGTCATCCCCAAACTGTCACAGGGTCACTACTCCCTCATCTGACCAAGGGACAATATGCCTCCTTTTACAACCTTGCAGCCTGGCCGGACCTGCTGGGCCCCAAGCCTCTGTGACGTCATGTGTTTGTCACGTGACCGAAAGCTGGTCTGAGGTGTCTGGCTCCCAGAGAAAGCACTGCTGCTGTCACGGTACTGGTCTGAGGTACTCAGGGTGCTGGTCTGAGGTACTCGGCCAAGGCGGCTCACACAGCCAGGGCAGCAACGATGCTGTTGACACCACAGACCCGCGTTTCTTCTTCTGTTTTTAACTGAAAATTTTTCATACAATGTATTTTCATCATGTTTTCCCCTCCTCCAATTCTTACCAGATCCTCCCCACTTCCTTTTACCCAATCAACTTCATGCTTCTTTTCCCTCTGTTTCCTTAAACAGACAAGACAACCCCCCCCAAAGCACACATACACATGCGTACACACACACACACACACACACACACACACACACACACACACATACGCAACAGAAATAAAAACAAACAAGCAAAAGACCAATAAGATAAAAAATATGCCAAACAAAGCAAAATGATACCATATAGATACCAAGTACAAAAGTACTTTTCACTATGCTTTTCATTTGCCAAGTACTCCTGGGCATGTGGCCTGCCCCAAAGTGTGTTAATACACATCGTGAGACTTCACCAAAGAAAAGTGAATTTTCCTTTGCCAGTGGGCATCAGTTACAGATGTCATCTTAGTTAGTTAGAGATGGGAGCCCGTGTCCTTCTCCCTTCCAGTGCTGGGACCCTGTCGGTGGGAACTTGTGCAGGCCTTCTTCACTCGGCCTCAGTCTCTGTGAGGTGAGTTCATGCACAGCCCCTGTTTCTTGAACAGAACGGGTGGAACTCTCCCAGGCTCCGCCACTGCCTGCTCCCAGCCCTACTCATGGAGGCCCAGGGCGTAGGATGGAGGCGGCAGGCAGGCGTGGGGCTAGGAAAGTTGGGTGGGAAGGAACAGGAATGAAGTGTGTGGAGCAGCAGGGCTCACTCTGGGGAGACCCTGGGGCAGGTTCCTCACCACGTTGAAGACCACTTGGGGGTGCCTGCTCAGTCTGTGGCCACATCCTTAAAACAACCCCCATTCCCATGGGCATTCTCCAGCTTGACACCTGTGGGCTGGGGCCGCATTCTGATGTGACCGGTGGAGTTTTAGCAAGCTTTCTGTTTCACCCAAGAGATTCAAGATAGAAATAGAGCCCTTCATAATTTGAGATACTTCTCATCTGGGGACCCTCCTCCTCCAGTGTTGGGCAAAAGTCTTATGGCAGAAGTCACCAGCCAGCTGTCATGGCTGCCCTCATGTCACCCAGTGTCCAGCCTGCATGGATACTTCAGATCAGTTTCAGCCCAGTGGGGCTGGGTCTCTGGGCCTGGTCACTACTTAGCTACCTATGGTATTGTTAAAATGTAGATGAGCTCTCTGCAATCCTTAAATTCTGCCTCCCTTCTCTCCCTGTACCACGCCACTATTCAGAGACACTGCCACCTTTTAGAAGCTTCAGGTCTGGGAGATGGAGGGTGGTCGCCCCAGGCCCGCTGGTTTCCATCGGGTCTGATCATTCTGGTAGCTGCACTAAACTATCATAAACAGTGTGGCTTACAAACAACAGGAATTTACTACCCACCCTACTGGGAGGGTGAAGACTAGGGCTGAGGCAGACTAGTGTCTGGTGACTCAGTTCTGTAGCTCTTGGTAGGGCATCTGGCTGTGTTCTCATTGGACAGATGGACCCTTAGGCCGTGAGTCCCATTGATGGGGCCCTGCTCTCGGGACCCAGTCCCCCTCTATGGCCTCATGCCACACTGTAGTTTAGGGGGACAGGACATATTCAGAGCTCATTGTGAGCTGGCTGGACTCCTGTTCCCTGTCTCCTCCCCAGCGCAGACACAGGACTTTTCCTCTCTGTAATCTTGTGGGCCAGTCCGGTTAGTATTACTGCTGTCTTCGGTACATAGCCTATGCGGATCCACACTTGTGCTTCTCTGGAGAATCCTAACCAATAAACATGGCAAACACCTCACTATTGTCTGCTTGGAATGTGAAGTAGAGAACAGGATGAAGGGGTGGGAGAAAGAAAAAGAGGGGGAAAGGAGGGGAGGAGGCAGAGGAGGAGGGAGAGGGAGGGGAGGGCAGGGGGAGGGGAAGGGGGCTTTTAATAGATACCATATGTACGAGTTCCCATGCAGACCTCTCCATCCTGGGCCAATCATGGTGCAGTGAGGAAGGGGTGGAGCCACAGCACCGGGACCTCGGCTTTGTGTGAACACGAGCTCCCGTTGAGTGTGAAGGTATATGTGTGTGCAGTGTGCTTGTAGAGAGACCCTACACTGTCACTGCTGGGGGTGTGAGGGACACTCCTGGCTTCAAGGAGCCCAAACAGGAGTCCGGGATGAGAGATTATACAGAGCAATGAGGAGGTGCTGAGCAGTACAGTCCGGGGAGAGTCCTCTACCCTCGGGGACCAGGGCAAAGTCCCCAGGATGCACTTGCAGGTAGCTTCTCTGCACTGACTCTTGGTCCTTCCACTTGAAGACTATAACAAGACCTCAGGAAAGCACTCATAAATGCTCAGAGCAGAGGATCATTTCCTCCGGTGAGAGGGAGGCAATAGCCAACCTCACAAAACGCTGCTGAGGATACCCTGACTCACTGGTGGTGCCTCAGACAGACAGGCAGACTAAGGACACAACTAGGTGGACAGACACCCTTAGGTTCTGCTATGACATCCCCTAGCTTCCAGGCTGAGGGTCAAGCATTGAGAAAGGGCATCCTACAAACCAAGGCCACATCTGCACTCTGGAGGCTCTAGCTGTACCACTTTGACAAAAAGTGACGACCTCTGACTGCTAAGGGTGGGGCCCCACAGGGTAGTGACAGAACCCCAGGCTACAGGCCTGGCCACTAAGGCCCAACCCAGCCTGCTGTGCTCCCACTGGACCCGTCACAATCTTCATGCAGCACAGGTCTTTGGCAATGGGAGAGGGTCATGGGTACCTGAGTTCACACCTTGTCACCAGCAACCTCTATTCCAGTTTGCCCTTACTCTTCCCAGAGGAGACGTTCGATTGACAGTAGAAAACAGCTGCCAGAAACCGGAGAGGACCTGAAGGGTGGGAGAGGCTCAGGTCCCATCTAGGTAAAAGATGGGACTCAGGTACGCAGTCCAAGCTGTGGCAGTCAAGGGCAGCACAAGACAGAAAAGCTGGGGTAGAGAGAAGAAACAGGAACCCCCTGAGTGAGTACTTTGGAGGTCAAACCCATACAACAAAGAAAACACCCACAAAAATCCCTGCACACAGCATAAGGCATTCCAGGACAGCTTTAGTTTTGGAAACAAGGAGGATGGTACAACCATCATTATCCACTGACTCAATCAATACCACTTACAAGCCAAGGTGTGACATATTTCCTCCTGTATTTGTGTTAGCGAAATTAAACTACAATGCCTGAGTATAACCTTCAGGGAAATGTGGAGTGTAGAAGGCTGCCATTTAATTAACTATCAAGATTCGGGACAACTGGATAGCCTGGGTCATGGCCTCCCTGGGGAGTGTCCAGAGGACCCTGGGGCTCCTTGTTGGGTCATCACGCTGGTGTACCTGTTCCCTGCAGGATCACATAGACATGGTGCACGTGTTGGGTGGCTTAACACTGTAATACTCAGCTCTGTTGAAGCCTGATTCAAAGGACACACAGGTGAGGCTTGCCTGATCCAGTACAGTTTGGAGGCTCTCTTGGGTGTGGGGGGTACATGGCATATCTAGAAAGAGAAGTCTTGCTTCCAGAAGGGGATTTATTTCTTCCTAGGACACATTCAAAATTCAAGGATGTAGGAAACGGAAACCGGGAACATGCAATCCAGATGAAAAGTTCAAGTACTTCTCTTTGCAAAAGCCTAGGGAAATAGAACTCAGGAGGGCATTTAAGGATTGGGAGGGGCAATTTCACAGAGACCTTCGAGGATGATCCCATTCGTCCCAGCCTTTGCAGATAGATGAAGACAGACTTGTAGGAAGTGGGACCAGAGGGCTTTGCCTGGTACCTGCAGCATAATCTCATCTCAGATGGTGAGCATCTTTCTAGATATGGAGCGTGCTGATTAGCAGCAAACCAGAGCTCTCTCACTACAATCTAAGACCTGGTCCACGTGTCCAATGCAATAAACAAAAGCCTCTTAAACTTAGAAATTTTGTCCTTTAGAGGATGGGCGACGAGGGTGGGTGTGACAAAGGGATTCTACAGATTGGCGGGTGTGGGGAGTGAGCAGAGGTAGCATCCTGGAGGGAGACCCAGTACACCCGGTTGGGCATGGGGACTGTGGATAGTTGATAGCGTAGTACTTCTGATTTGGTAGGCACATCTTTGAGCACAGAGTCTGTGTAACAGGGAGACATTCTCCGCTGTTTCCCAGGCAGATCTTTGAGCTACAGGATGCCTGTGGGATGCTGAAACACTCCCCGTTGGGTTGAAGGACAAGCCTTGAGGTGCACGGTGCTTGTGTGAGATGGAAACAGTTTCTATTGGGACTGAGGCAAATCTTTGGGCTGCAGGAGGCCGATGAGCAGCCGGGATTCACGACAGTGAAGTTGGCGCATCGCCCCTGGAGGAAGGAGAAAAACACAAGTTCACAGAGATGTCGTTGGACTTGGGCCAGAAGGCTGACATTGTCTGACTTCAGGTGGTAGAGTCAGGACACATCAGGATTCAACCAGCAGTGCTGGCCTTGTGGATGGATGCTCCTTTGGATCAAATCAAATCATAATCAACATGGAGTCACTTGTGTCAAGTCCTAATATAAACCAAGATTCAAACAAGGAAAGATGATTATTTATGAAGGAGGAAATATCATTCATAAAGAAAAACTACCATAAAACACAGCTAGGACCACACTGCCCAAAGATCACCACAAAGTTCACACATCAATGGCTGTGCATACACAGTAACTCCATAGCAACCCATAGCCCAGATGCCTAAAGATACATTGCCTTTTAAATCCCTTACAAAAAAGCGTCTGCAAGGACATCCACTCATTGATGATCAAAGGTGTGGGCTGGTGCCATTGGCACATTTGTTCTAGATCCTTTAATATTCTTTTATGATTCCTTGTGGCCAAAGGTTATTGTCTCAAAGTCATTTGTGTGAACCTTCTAATTTTTGTCTTTAAAGTTTCCCTTTATTCTTTTAATGTGCACACAGCCTGCTCTGGAATGTGGGATCCTCATTGCAATGCCCCAGTGTTCCCAAGTGAATCATTATTTTTGGAGAGTTTCTCTGATTGTTGATTAGGTTGGTATCAGAAAAGTCTCTTTTACCTTAGCTGTTTTAAACAAGTTGTCTTAAAGAACCTGGCATCTGCCTCAGGCCTGTGAATGGCTTTCTACAAACCATTTCCGGTATTATCACAAGCATCTTTCTGGTTTCTGTGAAGTATGTCTGCAAGGACCTACCTCAAAGGACCTCATGATTGTTTCTGGCGATCTCACTCTTGGCTTTACAGGTCTAATTATTTTGCTTCCTCTGCATAGTTAAGATGCTGTGGAAATTCTTATTTCCATTTTGGTTTGTTTACATGGGTCTGTAAATAATTGGGCTCTTTCATATCTTGCTTATTTGTGAACTTCAAGAACAAAAAAGAACATTCTAAATGTTGGGCATTAAGCAGTCACTTTGAGTCCCACGAGATATGAATATTCACAAACACTTTGCATATATCACACTTTATACTATAAGATGTCCTGTCCAAATGTTTCCACTGATCACCCTGACGCCATGATACTTGGGACAGAGCCGGGATACAGAAGGGTCAGTTCACAACCTGGCTGTACCACTGAACAACCTCGCCATGCTGAGCCCCAAACTAAATGCCAGTGCCTCAGTTTCCACAGCTGTGAAGACGGCAGGACAGAGAAAGAGGCGCACACACAACAAAACGTCTGGAGCTGGGCTGGAGGGTGCTGTGCTGGCTGGCTCCTGACCATGACTATTGAAAGGTTTCTTGACTTTGAGGGTCCTGACTTTCCTTCCAACAGTAGAGTTGTTGGTTTGGTTAATCATTCGCTTATGGGAAGTCCTTAGACCATGTCTGTCTACGCGGAAGTTACAGTTTCTCTGAAGCAGCTGTGGGAATGAAATGAGGCCCAGGCTCCAAGCAGCTCCTGGGGTCGGGGGTGAGCATAGAAAGATGAGTGGGCTTGGGGACATCCTGTCGTTGTTGTAGACACTCTGTCCAGGAGGACAGGGTCAGGGTTCCCCACTGAGCCTGTTTCCCATCAGCTTAACAGGCACAGAGATAGCTCCCGGACTGAAGAGAGCTCAGACTTCAGTGGCTCAGGGATCACAAACTGGCCTGGAGTTTGTATGTATTTATGAAGGAGATGGTGCCAACTAGACAAGTTGCTTCGAGAAGTCGAAGGCCATGGCGCAGACATTCATTTTGTGAAGGTCCAAAGCAAACAAAACCACTTACTTCTGCTGCAAAAATGCCCAGGTTTGCGGTAAAGTGAAACTTCTAAATAATCTCATGGGTTATGATTAGTAGAGGCACAATGAACTAATGGGAACAAACAAGCTATTAGATGAGGGTCTAGGAAGCAGTCCCTCCCCAGTTCAAGATCAGGGCCCCTCTGCACAGGTTTATTAACTTCTGAGACCCTCTTTGAGTCCTCATGCCTGCGTGCCATAACCACTCAGGATCAGGAGCTTAGAAACAGCCTGTCCCCTGGGTGGTACAGGGAGGGAAGGAGAGGCACACCCAGGATCTTGTCTCTACTGCTTTTGTTGCCTGGGTGAGGCTTTGCCTGACGGGGCCTTCCGGAAGGGTGGCATGGAGCACTGGACAAGTGGCCTGTGGTGGGACATGACAAGTGGCCAGTGGTGGGACATGACGTGAGCAGGGTCCCTGACTGCTGCCTCCACTCCCTGCTGCTAGGCTGAGGTTAAGTCCCCCAGGATGTTCTGAAGTGGGTTCCCGTTTCGACAGAAGACCAGCCCGGGGGAGCATCCCAGAGTGCCTTCATGCAGGAACCTGCCTGAACTTGCCAAGTGCGCTGGGTTAGTGTTTGGTTCTACCTACACACGCTGAGTGCTGCAGGCTGACTGTCCCCCAGGAAGCTTCAGGTCCCGCCGAAGCCCTCCTGAATCCCTGCTCTAAACAGTTCCCGGATGGCACCTTTATCTGTTCCTGCAGAGGGTGTAGCAGTGGGCATCTTACTTTGTACCTTGAAGGGAGCTACACTCAATTTTCTAAGTCCCTGCGAGGGACTTCAGGCCCCACATTGACACTTATTCATAGTAAACCCCGAAGGGCGCAGTCCCAGCTAAAACCCACCCTTCTCAGTGCCTGGCTCAGATGAAACTGTGGAGTCAGGACACTGAGAGATTAAAACATGTGGCTGCTCTGTGCCTTAGCGTTTCCCTGTGTCTGGCTCACCTGGACCTTGGGATGACACCACACCAATGGCATCTGGTGGCAGCTTGGCTGAAAGTAGTTGTAGCATGTGTCCAGGCTTCCCTGAAAAGCAAATGTGACCATGAGCAAGCAGAGAGCACGGGAGCTGTCCTCCAAAGACACTGGGGTTCACACTACCTAGAACTCTGTCAACATGGACACAAGAAGACAAAACCCATCCTCTCAGTCTAAAGACTTGGATGTCCCTAGTGGTCGCTGTGGAGCACACAGAATTTAGAACAATCTGGGATAAAACAGTGTTTTGAGTGGGAAGAATGATCAGTCGCTCTGGAGAAGTCCAGAAGTTTGAGGGGTGTGTGGTGGCAGGCAGAGGCCTCCAGGGGAGCTATGGGTTTTGTGAAGGTTCTGGGTAAAAGGCCTGGAAAGAGGGGAAAAGCCAGAACTTGGGCCACACAGGTCAGGCAGGCAAGACACCCAAGTCTCCATCAGGGCCAGCTGCCATGGGCCCGGGTAAAGGAAGGCGGGGAGGCCAGAAGGACCCTGGGCCTAACTGTAGTGAAACTGATAGTCTCAGCCCTGCAGCTCAGAGCCCGTGGGCTCTATGGAGTGGGTGGCGGAGGCCACATCAACGGCAGTGGCCATTTTCCTCTCAGGAGACCGATGTTGCTTTCTTTGTAGTCCTCAGGCAGGGAATGGGCAGGCGTGGCTCCCAGAGGACACTGGCGACTGCAGAAGATTTAGAAGAGCTCAGGAGGAAGCCATGGGACCGCCACAGACAGAGGCAGGGCATGGAGGACGGCTCCAAGCTGTGGGGGAGCTGGGGGCTCTTTCCTCCTTACACTGTTCTTGTAGGGTCTCCATACTGGTGCCTGGGGCTGCTGCCTGTCTTCCCCCTTTCTTGGAGTGACTTGGACCTCCTGGGAGGAGGGGCTTCAGATGAATGGCAGACTGTTAGTCTCTGGGGCTCAACTCCACATAACAAGTTTGACCTCCATGTCAACTACCTTCATCTTGTAACTCTTTGCTCATCTCAGTGGGCATCAGGACTGCTGGATCAACTCTTTTACTTGTCTATGAAGACACTTGGTCCGGGCTGGCCAGGGTCACTGGCACTTGATCAGTTCTCATGGTGGACAGATGGCAGCTCATGACTGGTCTTTTCTGTTTTTGTTGTATCTGACTTTGCAAGATACACCCCGTCCATCTTGGCTCATTTATCCACAGACTAAATGTGACAGCAAAGCCATTTTGGGGCTGAGACAATGACATGGGAACCAGAGACTGTCAAGACAGGGCACAATGGCCATGTCCAGTAAACTGTAAACTGCAAAAGAGGGGTGCAAGCACTTGGAGAACCCTCCTGTGTGCCGCTCTCCTCTAGCCATGGGAGAAAGACAGGGATTCAGGTGTCCTCGGACATAAAGTGATACATGTCCTGTATCCCTGCCACACTCAGACCTCTGTAGTGATGACTGACTGTGCCTGCCTTCCCTAGCTGAGCCTAGGGTCACAGCTTGCCCAGCCCCAGTCACCTGCACCCTTCTGTTTCCACAGCCACAGCAGGCAACGATCACAGTAGGGTTTGGGTTGACAGCTGGAGGAGGATGGGCATGAGGAGCAGGTGGGGATGTGGAAGGAGGGGGCCGCTCCTCGTCTTCTGGCTCCTGGAAGTGAAAAGAGTTGGTCTGTGTCTTGCTCACAGCTTCTTGAACAGGGGCTCGCTGTCTCTTGCATAGACATGCGTTGGGGGATGGGGGGGCAGTCAGCAAATGTTGCGGAGTGAATGGGAGACTGACTGTAACCCACACCCTGGGGAGGTCATCCATGAGAAGAATAACCAAAGTCCCTCTGGTTTGCAGATGCTGAGCTTCCCCAAATGAATGGGAGACTGACTGTAACCCACACCCTGGGGAGGTCATCAGCCAAATGTCAGCAGCTCACTTCCGTGCTCTTGGTTCTCTCGAGGCCACTCTTGACAGCAGAAGCCTGGCCTGAAGGCTGTGCAGAGAATGGGAAATGTCAGGTGGTAGTCCCCTCCATCGGGTTCTGTCCTTACAGCGGCAGGCTCCCAGGGCTACTCTGCACCTAGCACTGTCCCTCATGGAGAGGAGAGCTGGTCCCACCTCAACACAGGCCCAGGTCCAGTCTCTGCCTGCTCCAGCCTTTCATTACCCCTTCTGGTTCTGACCCCAAAGAAGGCACAATTGTTTGGTCATCTGGTCCCTGTGCTCAGCTGGAGACACCCCTCATAGCTCAAGGTCAGTTAGGATATCCTCTGCCTTCCCCGGCCTTGGACTTCCTGGGCTGACCTCAGGGGAGCTCTTGGCTCTTGCAGCAGATGATGGAGACAGGTGTAGAGAAGCCCAAAGCCTCTGAACCTAAAGATGGAGACCTGGATCTGATGCATGCAGCTCCTACACTAAGACCTGGTTTGCATCCTTGGCATTCAACAGAGAGGCCCATGGGATCCACTGAAAGACGCCAATTCAGCAATGGACAGCTGTACGCACTGGAGCAGGACCACCAAGCCCTGATGATCGGGAAATGCTGGGAGTCTGGTCATGGTGTTGCCTGGGTGACATTATTTTGAGTCCCATGGCTTTCCCATATCATCCTGGATCTGCATTCCCCCTATTCACTGCCAAAGTAGTGAGGGATTCTGAGCTCAGGCTTCATGACGCCTCTTGAAGGTTAGTGTGACAGTGTCACTCTCTTCCCCTACACAACTCACCTTCTCCGACGGTGGTGCAGGTGGCGGCGGCTTCTTAGGCTGGAACGTGAAACAGACAGACGTGGACTGGAGTGTTTAGAGTGGGTTCTGCCTTGGCCCTGCAGGCAGAGGGTACCCCGGCTTGGAGCAGGGAGACAACATGGCCTGGGGATGCCTATGTGGGTGCCCAGTGCTGTGGTGCTGTGTCCAGGAGGCTCTACCTGGCCCCAGGCAGCCCCAACAGGAGACCACCCAAACCAAGGTTCTGGTCCCTAGAGGCCCACAGCTGGAGCACTCCACACCTGTCAGAGCCCAGCCGCAGGGGAGCCCACAGTCCTCCTTCCCCTTGGTAGAAGCTCACTGTCCTTCAGTCTTCCCATACCCCCTCTAGGGCCTTCTCACCCTCTGCCTGCTCACTGCACCCCTGGGAGGAGCTGGGTCTCAGGGCCGCTACTTCCTCCTCCAGCTCCCTGGGGGGTTCCTTCCATCCCAGCTCCCCAGCTCTTCTGCCTTCTCCCACACTGTCCCAGGATGCCAGTGTCATCCTTGGATCCTGCTCTGCTTTAGCCAATCCCTGGCTACATCTCTGGGTGGGTGCATTTCACCCTGACGCCAGAAGAGTAACTGCAACCCCCGGTGAGGCGGGGTAGCCTTGCTGCTTCGCCCGCCCTGCTTCTGCAGCCCAGGATGGGGTCATGTGATATCCTGGGGTCAGGAAAGGGGCTGATGTCATAGGGAGCGCTGCCTTAGTGGTTACTAATCATGCCTGATAGGCTTCATCCTGTAGATGGGGCCACTGGGACTACATGGGGGATCCTGTCCTGACATACAGGGGCACCCCTGAGGCTTGGCCACACGAGGCCTGTAGGTGTGTAGCTGATACAAGATGGCACCGGTCTAAGGGTGCTGAGATAGCCTCTCTCCAGGGCCAGCCTTAGCTTACAGCCCAAGCATCTCAGACTGAATTCCTGGGTCAACTAAGCTGGAGAATTCTTGGAACCCAGGCTGGTCTAGGGCTTGGATATTTAAACTTAAGAGTTTGTGTCTCTCTCCTGGATGATTTGAGGACCTTAGAACAGATGAGAAATTGCCAGCAGGCTGGATTATAGTACTGCCCCAGGACAGTGTTCCTTGGAGAGAGGGCATGTGTGGAGGAGCCAGGGCAAGCGGGGAGGGGTGGGGAGGGGACTTAACCTTCCTGCGGCACCACTTCCAAGAGCAGCACAGCAGCAGCAGGACAGCCACCAGCACGACCGGGATTAAGAGAAGCAAGTTCCAGTCGAAGTCCGTGCTGTCTTTTGCCGGCTTGTTGATGGCCCTGGAGACTGGGACGGCGGCTTGCTTTGTGTCGTTTGTGTTGGCTTGCTTTGTGTCGTTGGTGTCGGCTTGCTTTGTGTCGTTGGTGTCGGCTTGTTTTGAGTCAGCTTGCTTTGGGTTGGCTTGCTTTGGGTCGGCTTGCTTTGTGTCAACTGGGACCAGGCCGGGGTCTTCCTGCTGCAGCTGGCTGGGTATGGAACCGCTCCTGCTGCCGCTGAATGCGTCTCCCTGTGGCAGATAGCAACAGTGGCTTCTTCCCCTGGGCCCACCCCTTGCTTCTTATCTGTACATGCATTCTCTCCACCCGGCTTGCCTAGACACAAGGGGCCACAGCAGGGTTAGTGGCCCAGGCTGGTCCTCAGAGGGCAGCCAACCTTTCTCAGCCCCAAACCTAGAAGAGGGTGACTCAGGGCCTTCCATGGTCTGAGGCTACCAGTTCTCACTGTGGCCTCGGCTGACAGTGCACTAGGCTATAGGTGATCTCTAGGAGATGGTCAGGCTGCTGGGCCGCTGAAGGGGTGTAGGGCCAGGAGATGTGGGTCTACCTTCTATGGCTGATCTCTGTGTCTCTCAGCTCTGTCTGAGAAGCTCACCCCTCCTCCCTCTGAATCTTGAGAGGAACTCAAGAGTTGTCACGAGTGGACACAAGGCTCCGTCTCCTGGGCCTACCCCCTAGTCACACTGCACTGGTCGGTCTCAGGTGCTTGGAGGACGGATGTGGAGCTGGAAAGCTGCATGTTGAGGAGCAGCACTTTCCTCCTCAGGGGCCCTGGCTGAGCTGAGGGCTTCACATTCCAGACAGGGCTCCCACCACAGCAGGAGAGTAGAGAGGATGCCCTGCAGGTGATGATTGACAGCTCACCACCACCACAGCAGGAGAGCATGCCCTGCAGGTGATTGTAAGCCCACAGAGGGGCAGCCAGAAATATAGAGGAGAGGGCAAACTGAGGACATGGTAAATGACAGCAGTCACCAAGCAGGTTTGGGGCAAGGATAGGGGTGAGGCCCGAGTAGATTTGGGTCCATATTAGCTACTGGGAATCTGATTCACTGGCACACATCTTTGACTGCGGCTGGTAGAAACTCTGTGTTCCTGGGCTTGGCACATTCATGTGGAGTTGTCATGTGCCCTACATGTTCTAGACAGTGTCTGGCAAAGCCTCGTACCTGTCCCAGGTGGCTCCTCAAGAAACTGCTACTGTGTGGCAGGCCTTTTGTGACCATCATTTGAGCTCTAGGTGGCTCGGCATCACCCTTGGCTCTTACCTCAGTACCCCCACAGCTGTTACCAGTTATGATGAGTTTGTTCCCAATGAAGGAGAGGCCGTTGTTCAGACTGACTTCGAGAAAGACTTCCCTGATGCACAGAAAAGAGACTAGATGATGGAAAGAGCCCTGGAGACGCAGTTTGCTAAAAGTGTTGCACACATCAATCCCCAGGGTAATGATGCTGAAATTCTAGCACAGGACTCCCTGTAGTGAAGAGGTGGGTAGAGAAACTTTACTCCCCAAAGTATAAAGAGTCAACCTCTGCAGTGATGGTGCATAGGAATGATAGGCCGTAAGAGGAACTCATGTCACATGGCCATAATGGCCATGAACTCAGGAATCAGGGAGGTACTCAAACACAGGCTTGAACCCTCGACCCCATCATCTTTTCCATTCTGCCCTCAGCAGTGCCTGGGTACTATGTATTCCTGAATACCGCCAGGTGCACTAACAGAGGCATGCAGAAGGGAAATGGAACCCACATACAGGCAGACAGGTGCTGTACAGCAAGGGCACACCCCAGATTCTCCACAAGCTGGTAAACACCAAGTGTTGGACTCCCCATAAGGCTTCTGGCAAGGGGCACGTCCTCTGATAAACAGCGACTACCAGACCATGCCTAAGGCCTCCCACAAAGGACACGTACTCGCCAGTATGCAGTATCTTTGGTCCAGGACAGGATATAGTGTTCTCACTCTTGTCGATGGGGGCTTCGTCTACAAGAAAATGACACGGGATTATCAGTTGGGGTGTTCTTCCTCCACTGTCACCCTCTGTCTGAGAGCTGCCACTGGTCGATGACTGCCTACTCCCCATGTCTCTTTTTGTTCAAGGACACCTGCTGAGTCCCACCTCTGCCCACCTGGTACCCAGCAGGTGCACACAGCAAGGGCTCCTGTACCCCAGGGCTCGTTGGTTGGGGATTGAGGGGAAGAGAGAAAAAAGAAAAAAAAAAAAAAACCAACCAAGACACAGAGGACAAGGTATGTGCTGTGACATGGTGAGCAGACAGAGGGGTGGGGAAGGACAGACGCTCAGTGACTATGTGTCCCTTCCTTTAGAGATAGGAATTCTGGTTTAACGAAATTGGTATTTACACGTGAAATGATGCCTTGCCTGGAATTTACTCAGTGGTGAGAGTGCCAGGGAGCTACAGCGTGTGGGTTGTGAACTACTAACCATAGACACAAACTCTTAAGTTTAAAGACCCTTCAAGACCCTGTTCAATTCCTGGTGCGTCTGTGTTTGGTGAACCATGTCCATTGACACTGGTTCTGTGTGAGCTGCTGATGTCTGAGCTAGGAGCAGCCAGGAGATGGTCTTAGGCCTGGGAGCTTTGGCCTAAGTGAGAGGCCAATGGAGCTAGTCAGTTGCTAAAAGGAGTGAGTCTAGAAGTGTGGGCTCTGGGAAGAAGTTTGGGCATTTCGGCTAGTGCGATGAATCCGTCACGGGCTGTGGAGGCTCCAGACAAAGGCAACATGGAATGCTGGTGGACTGTATTCAGGAATAGGATAAGAGGATCAAGAATGGTGGCCAGGTTTAGACCCAGGAAGCGGGTGGGTGGATAGATGTGCTGTTTACAGAGCTGGAGAAGGCTCATAAGGGGATAGAGAGTTTTCTTTTCCTTCTTTGGGAGCCTGAGGAGAATTCTGTAGCGGTGACAGAAGCTGCTAATCCTAACACATTCTCTGCCCAGTCCACTGAGCTGGGGACAAAAAGCCAAGAGCCGAGCTGTATCCCCATTGGCTAGGCTTCCACTACCCCAATCCTTGGTCTCTCCTCTGTGTGCTCTGATGAATGGCTGAAACTCGTTCTGGCCATCTTCCAGGCTCAGTCTGTAGGCTGCTGCCCTGTCCCACTGCAGACACCAGGTTCTGGTAGTTGACCCTCAGGAAGGCTAAACCATGCTGGAGTGAGGACAGGCCAGTGTTTGCCAGTCTTCAGATGCCTTTTGGAGCCGGGGGTTTATTCTTCCGCCATGTTTGTATGAGGGGTGGTGGGACTAGGCATGCCTCTCGGTCCTTTTTCCATTGGTCCATGCTGCCTTAGCTCCCCAGTGTCCACTGGACGTGGTCAGCAAGAGCAGAAAACATGGCTGGCTTAGAGAAATGATTCTGTGTGGTAATGTGTACTTCAGAGATACCAAGGGACCACTTACCGACGATTCTGGAGTCACTGAAGGTGAATCTGCAAAGAACTTGGCTCAGGGCTTTCGCATTGTCAAACCCATGTCCGCTAATGTTTACTTTGTAGGAGTCTGCAAGAAGAACATTTAAATGTTGGAGTGGAGGAGTTGGGTGCCATGTTCTCTCTGGTCTCACCTTTCATGAAGGGCTACCCTGTAAGGAATTCTCGGGGGCCCTTATGAAAGAGCATCAGTGTCCGAACCAACATCTGTGGGACTTTGTAGGGAAAATCCTCATCTGGTGCCACTGACTATCCATTCTAATATAGTTGGAAGGGGCCTTGCCCAGTTAGAAGTCCTACTGTGATCTCTGACCCAACTAGTCCAAAGTCCCAGCTCTGTTCCAAGCTAGGCCAACTCAGCTGAAACCTTCCTGCTTGGAGACCTCATGAACTTCTTAATCCACATGGGCACTGTAGCAGAGACAGGGCCTTCTCTGCCCAGGGTTAGGGACCAGTTCCCTACTTGATGCCTGAGGTACCATTGAGCATGAAGAATATCAATTCTTTCATGTGTTTTATGGTGTGCTAATAGAGACCCCAAGAACAAGGGTTAGGGCCTAGGGAAGAGATCTGGTCCCTGACCCACCCAAGAGAGTCCCTTGAAGGAGATGGCCCCTCTCAGATACAGGTCCTGAGGTCAACACATCCTTCTTCATCCACCTTGTCCATCACTCTGGGGTTTAGCAAGGTCTTCCTAACGTCAGTGAAGAGCTCCCTGACACTGATACCATATGAAAAGAACACAGAGAGGATGACTGGGTGAGTGACTCCATAGGCAGGATTCCTCTACATTTTCCTCATTTGCCTTGGGGGCCAGGGCCCACTCATTTCTGTCTCCCATGTATTTCAGATGCCTCAGGGTAGCTGATCAAGGACCCTCCTTCTCAAGGACCCTCTCCAGGCTCCATAGCACTCAGGTCAACACAGTGCCACCTCATGCAAGCAGCCAATTCTGTTTCACTCGTCGTCTAGGCCCCTGCCTTGGGTTTCCCTGGAAGTGACAGGTATTCTCATGTGGCGGCCTCCACAAGATGGCCAACAGTTTAACAACTCAGTGGCTGAGCAGGTATCTGGAGGCACCTGCCGCCTGGTTCAGCTGCAGGGAGGAGAGAGTGACAACTTGGGGATGTTGTCACCTGGGGATTGTCACAGCTGCCCAGACACCAAGGCCTGTGTGTTCCAGGACAGTCAGAGACAGCCAAGCAGGCTGCACTGCTGGGCTTTTTTTTAATTTTTATTTTAAATCTCAGAAGCTCCATAGAGAAACTCCATAGAGGTCTCTCTCCCTTCATCCTTCAGCACAGCAGACTCCTCACTCTTCCACGACATGGGGAGGGGCAGGGGCAGCCCAGAGCCAAAGACTGGGATGGAGATACCAGGGCAGCTTCTGTCCTTAACACCTCTGAGCCTCTAGATGCTGCACCTATTCCCACACCATCCATTGTTTCCGCATCTCCCAGCTTATTTCTGGGTACCGGAGCTCCCACATACGTGGCACTCCACCTCAGATCAGTGCTGAGGCCGGCACAGCTCACAAGCAAGCATAGTCCTGTCTTCTCAAGCCTGGAGCCTTGGGCATTCATTGAGGAATATGGAGGTCAGGACTCAGCTGCCCGAGCTGGAAGGCATACGAAGAACTGAGCTGTCCACAGTGGAAAAGGAGACTCAGGGCTTCCTGCATCTCTCTCTTCTGCAGGGTACAAATCACAGCTCCATGGGACCAAGTCTGCATGCAGGTACTGACAAAGAAAGACATCCTTCCTCTAGAAGCAAACACATGTGTGTCCTTGGCACACTGATGCAGGGACCTTGGGATGGACAGAGGTTATCCTTGTCAGTTCTAGGCCTGGAGGTCAGGTGTTGGCCACGGCAATGCTGGGGTGAAGTAAGCATGGCTGTCTTTGTGGATGTCTTTGCCAGGCATGGGTATTTCCTCTTGCTTCCAGGAGCAACGTAGATGCCCACTGTGCCCAGTGGTTTGTTTTCACCTGTTGATATGATCACCTGCCACTGCCCCCACTTTGCCGAAGTGGAAACTCCATAGGAATTTCTACCCCAGATGCTCCTGGTTGCTCTAGCAAAGCCAAGGTGCTCTGAATGTATTGGTGGCTCCATTCCATTTTTTAGGGTTTTCTTGAGAGTTTAAAAAAATACCTTTTTCCTAGCCTTATAATGATACATTTTATTTTGAGATAAATAGGTAGTATCTGCACATATATCACAATGTCATTACAGCATGTACCTTCCAAATGTACATCATACTAGCGCCAAAGCATAGTCACTCCATGCATGCTCATATCCCACATATACCTCACATACACACAGTACCTTCATAGGCACATATACATACACACTATGCACATACTATATACACTATGTACTATACACATATAATGCATATTACATACTGCATATACAGGCATACTGCATATATAACCTTAAAACACAAGCACATAAACACCATGTGCCCTTTAGCAATACAACATACTTAATCACCCATAGCACACAACACACACACACACACACACACACACACACACACACACACACACAAACTTCAAGTTCTTTAATACCACATAAATAATCACAAATGGACATATTCCATACCCTATACAAAGCAGCACACATGATTTATTCCACACTCACAGTTGTACACACATAGGATTCTTATATAGCAGATAGCATAAATACATGCCATAAATCTCATAAATACATACTAGACACTACATGCCACATTAAAACTCAGACATGTAGCACATATCATAGAAACACAGAATGTGGTACATACACATTATATACCCTTCTATACCACAATACATCACAACACAGAACACCCAACATGCATAGCACATCATATATCAGATGTTCTCCTCCCATGCCTATTGAACCACTCCCTCCACAGCCCCCTCACAACCCATAACATATTACATATACCATGCACACACTGCTCACACACATCCATCAAAAGCATACTTACCACACACAAGACATCTCTACCAGACAGATCACAAACACATCTATACCACACAGATACCATAAATATTCACTTTCCCACATATTAAACCACACATGTGCCCTCCTTCCCTTAATATTCTTCCAAAACTCTCTCATGTAGCAGAGACAAGACATAATACATACATGCATGCATGCATACATACATACACACATACATACCTTACCACAGAAGTATTACATGAAGATGCTCTACCTACAAAACATACACAACATACACAGAACATGTCTTTTATACAAACTACTCCAGCTCAGTTTTCCATACATATACTACACAAAAGATCACACTTACACATTCATCCATCATATATACTCACACACATACCACGTATGTCATAAACACATAACATACACACACAATCCAAATTTCCTGTCCACCCACATTTCTACATAGAAACACGTGTGCACAGATCACCTATCACCCTCACACAGGAGTATACATGTTAACTACCTTTCTCATTACTGCAACAAAATGTCTCATTACAGCAGCTTAAGAAAGAAGGGCTTATGTTGAATCCCAGTTCCAGGGTACAGACCATCATGGAAGTTCAGCATGGCGCAGCTCATATTGGAGCCACTGGGTTAAAAGGGCTTGTGTAGCTCTGCCCTCCTGGTCCTGATTCCTTCAGCACACATAGCCTCTCTTTGGCCAGCTTCACAGCATGCCTGCAGCTTCCTTCAATGGATGATCCATGGTTCCAGTATCTCCAGCATGCTGGGGTCCACTGCAGCATAGGCTTCACTTGGACAGCTTTAAGCAAAGGTCTCTTAGGGTCTCTCCTCTCTAGTGCTCTGAGCCTGCTACACATTGGGTGGCCCAAAGAGCTCTCACAAGACTCCATTACCCCTCAGTCTTGCATCTTGTGTGTCTACAAAGCCAGTACCACATGAGTGACATTGTCAATGACATTGGTTTGGGATGCGACAAAGCTAGAGTGGCATTTATATGTCTTGGTTTCTGAATCTGAGAAAACACTTTCCTAAAACGGTACTTTTGAACTGGAAATCCCTTCCGAGTTCAGGCTCCTTCTTTTAAAATAAATTTGCATTTTCACAGGATGGACCAGTTTAATAGGTAGGGGTCTTGCCCTCAGGGCACCTTTCCTAGTGCCCTTGTTCTGGGCAGGGGGTTTCTCTTTAAAGACATTGAGGATTTGAAATAACTACAGGTGCTTTCTCAGTACCAGCCTTGATCACAACCTTAAAATTCGCTCCTTTGCTCCAGTCAAATAGCACATTTTTCATATCCTTTTTGCTCCCATAGATCTCTCTTGCTGTAGATCTGGTCAGCAGTGAGCAATAACCATGTCACTCTTAGTGTTACTGTGTTTTGAGATTTCTTCTGTCAAATAAATAGCCCTTTAAGTTTGGATTCAGCCTCAGTGAAATTCTCAGGACACAAGCACAATACAGCCAAATTTCCAGCCGTAATATGATGTCAATGGCCTCTACCCAGGTATTGATAGTCTTTAAAGGCCTCCACTCTCTGTGTTTCTCTTGGCATACTGGTCTTCCAAACTTCCACTAGAATGACCCGCTAAACTTTGCTTAGAGCATTCTTGGGCTTCTCTGTGCCGATGTTCCAACCTTTTGGACATTTTTCCTGCAAGCTATTTTCAAAGGTTTAAGAACCACACAGTCAGAATTTAGCAACAATACCACTCCTGATACCAGTTTCCTGTATTAGTTACTTTTCTGGTTGATGTGACAAAATACAAGCCACATTAAACTGAAAGGGTTTATTTCAGCTCGCAGTTCAAGATTCCAGTCCATCACATACAGAAGAAGTTCATGGTGGCAGGAGTGTGAGGCATTTGGTCATATTGCATCCACAGTCCTAAAGAATAGAGACATGAATGCCAGTGCTCAGCTCCCTTTCTTCTTTTTATTTATTCATCTTGGAACCTCAGGCCAGGGAATGGTGCTGCCTATACTTGGAGTGGTTTTTCCCACTTCAATGAACCCAGCCAAGAAACTCCCTCACAGTCATGCTAAGAGGTTTGTCTTCTAGGTAATTCTAGATCTTGCCAAGTTGATGATCAATATTATCACATGTGCCACACATATCATGGAAGCACGATGTACAGGATGTACACTCCATACAAACCGCACTCAGAAACAATACCACAGCCATACACACTCATGCAAATGTACGCTGTGGTGATATATTATGTACCCCAATATATTGTGTACCCTAATAAACTTATCTGGGGATCAAAGGACAGAGCCAGTCACTAAATTAGATATAGAGGCCAGACAGTGGTGGCACACACACCCTTAATCCTATCACTCGGGAAGCAGAGATCTGTCCGAATCTCTGTGAGTTCAAGGCCACACAGGGAACAGAGCCAGGTGTGATGGCACACGCCTTTAATCCCAGCACTTGGGATCTCATGTCCTTGCTTGGGAAGCACACACACCTTTAATTCTAGGAAGTGACTTGGCTGTGTGGAGAACGGTGTATAAGGCCTGAGGAGACAGGAACTAAAGCAGTTCACCTGAGACGTTCAGGAATGAGGGAGGACTCAGAGGCTTTCAGTCTGAGGATTCATGGAAACAGGATTGGCTGAGGAGTTGTCGAGGTGAGGTTGGCTGTGGCTTGTTCTGTTTCTCTGATCTTTCAGCTCTCACCCCAATATCTGGCTCAGTTTTTTTTTTTTTTTAAGACTGTATAGCAATTCGTGTTATAGTGCATACTCTCTTGAGTTACACCGTTTGCCCAGGTCTGTGACCCTTTGGCTCTTACCTTTTATGCACACCTTGGAAGGCTCCACGGATAGCACTTCAGTACAGGACTTGGAAACAAGCTGAGAGAGATATGGAATGGACAGGCTAGTAAGTCTCGGAGAAGGTAGACCGGGTCCCCCAGTCTTCCGCACCCCACTTACCATGTCAATGATGTCCTGCAGAGCAGGGAACCCGTTGTCAACCCCAAAACTGTTATTTGGGCTATCTGCGATCTCGATTATCTATGATAGGAGAAAAGTAACTGGTTTGAACCTCCGAGCCAGGAACCAGAAGCATGAGGCTCCCAGACTTGGTTCCCAGACTTGGGGCAGGGACTGTTGCCCTCAGGCTATGGTGACAGGAATGTGTCAAACACTCACTGGCTTTCACTGAAAGCCCAAAAAATTAAGGCATGGGAAGCTCTCCCACCCATTCTACATAGGGGGTTGGCTTACTCAACCAAGTGAGCTACCCTTTTGCAGGGGCTAATTCTAGCCCCCAGGACCTTGGGTAGATGAGAATACCACCTTCTTGGCATTGTAAAGATGTCTTTACAATCTTGCTCTAGTAGACTATGCAGGGGCACTTGGTCACCTGGTCTGAAGTACCTGCTGTTTGTTATACTCATGCACACCCACGGTGTAAACGGTTGCTCCCATTCTCCGAGCTTTGTTGGCCTAAAAGAAAGAAGATGCTGAAAATAACGCCCCAGATGCCAGAGGCAAATGCTGACACTTGTGGACTGGCCTCACCTCTTCCAAGGTCTCCTTATACGAGTGTATCATCAATGGCCTGTCAGTCAGAGCGATAATCACGCTGTTGACACTGTTGCCTGCGGAAGAAGCCAGAAGTGGGTGGGCTTGGCGGGAAAGACTCTGGAGTGGTCCTAGTGGGTGAGGCTGCACACCCAGCACTGTCCACTGCATTAGAGTTGGTTGCTCTTCACTCCTTGGTCTCACAGAGTGACAAGAAGACTTACTCACTACCTATTCTATCGCTTAGGAACCAGAGGGGTCTGAGACTCTACTAGCAGGCCTGGCCTCTTATCCCCTGGCTATGGAACCTCTGCCCTGGGCTGGTGGAGAAGCAGGAGGGCCTTCCTTGATGAGGATGGCCAGTGAGTCAGGTGGAGCCTGGGGCCAGCGTCAGGCTCAACATTAGGAACATCTTACTGTGAACAGTATGCCCAGTGAGCAACGAGCCTTTTAGACATGTAAGAATAGCTTAGTCAGGAACCCCACTACACCCAGGGCTGTGCCTGAGAACCAGAACCCGGTGACATCACCCACTCAAGCTAACTAGACACAGTCCTAGAACCCATGACGCCCACTGGACAGTATATAAGCAGAGACCAAGAGCAATGTTCTGTTCTATACATCTGGAGAAATACCACCTTGATGTGCCCAGTGGCTGGGGAGTTTCTCCCAGGATCCTGACCCTTCAATCAGAGACTTCTGTTAGAGACTATACCAGACCTTCAGCTAAGATACATCACACAGGTGAGGAGTTTTAGGAAGAAAGGCTTAGGACTTGGTGAGGAATTTAGAGTGTGAGCCTTGTGTGATGACCCTCAACATAATAAAATGTAAGTTTTTGTCATACTAACTACTTTCTTGCTGGCCACAAGACTCCATGGCAGAAAGTCTTAGGCACGGGATGACAGGACCTCTCATCGAATTCCCCCACTGGATTCCATAAAGCCTGTAGTCCAGAGGGACACAGGTCTTGGCGGGGCATGGTTGATTCCTGGGCTTAGGAAGCTGGCCAAACAAAGCAAGAGGTAGAAACAAATACTTAGCAGCCAGAGGGAAGCCAAGCCTTGGTTTCCAGCACAGGGTCCCCAGTCTGCTCAGGCCCTGTGTTTTCTTCTTTCTATTTCCCAGCACATCTGTAGGCCAAGGACCAGTGAGAGCAAAGCCTACAGATGACCACACGTAGCCTCCTCCTGAGGGGGGTGCTGTGCTCAGAGGGGTCAGCTGTGCAGAGAGGGGAGCAACAGCTTCAAGAGTCAGACTTGAAGAGATCCAGGGTGTGCACAGAGACTCTGTAGGGGGCCCAGCTCTGTGGGCCCTGCCCCACTGAAGGTGCAAGCGGCTCACCTCCCAAGGTGGCATTTCGGATCTGTTCATTCGCCTGCCATCAAATGAAGAAGAAAACAAAACGGTGATACAGTGAAATGACCTCAGAGGCACTCTACACTGAGCCTGCACCCAGAGGTGGCTGCAGCTGGGTGTACCTTCATAAATCCTTTCTGCATGTATGAACGTCCTTCAGGCACCAGTTTCTGGAGTCTGAAAAGGCCATCGTCGATTGCTTCTCTAAAAGAATAAAAAAGAAAAGCATCATGAAGGACATTGCCAGTGGCTAAACATCTCCAAGCTGTCCCCCGGCCTTGTCCACTGAGCAGACCACCTGGCTGAAGGAGGGCATGGGACAAGAGGCCCTGTCGCTCCCTTCTGAGCTGGGCCTTTCTCTGATCTCCTGAGCACTGAGGCAGGAGGGGCAGGGAATTCGGTGGGTCCCACAGGAAGGCCTGGATTTCTTTGAGTTCATCTATGTTTTTGGGCACCCAGGCCTTGGAGTTTCAGACAGAGACCTTGCCTGTTAATTCCTTGGAGAACATTCTGGGATTTAAGCTAGGGATTCACGGGGGGTACATGCATTCTGAATGGGCAACCCAATGCCATGGTCACCCTCCTCCTGAGTAGTCTATCATTTACTGTGTAGGGCTGAAGGGGGCCATGTCACCTTGCGGAGTGACTGACTAGCTCCTGTCACAGAGCCCTGGCCTGATTCCCTTCCCTTCTAGAAGTATCAGGCCTATGAGTTCTGCTTGAGTACAGGCCCAAGGGTGCTAACAAACTAGGGCTGGGGGTCAGTTTAGGTATATAAGTCCCCTACGGATGGGTGATGCTGGGAGACTCCAGAGGTCTCTACAAACCCCCAGTTTCCTCAAGATCCAAGTGTCCTGGCCACTGGGCTAGGCTTAGGAGTCAGAGCAACACTTACCTGTCTGAGGTGAGTGGCATGAGAATGTCAGCATCTGTTGAGTAGGTAATGAAGGACATCCGCAGTTTAGAGCTAGGGACGAAGCCAGTACACTAGATCATCAGCCTGTCGGGGACCAGACACGCACAAATGCCCTGCTCCCATCCCATCTCTTTTGCACTGGGGACATTCAGAGGTGGGGTGTTAAGGTAAAAATGGCAAAGGATTCTAAAGCCCACGCAGATATGTAGGTCCAGGGAAGAAAGAGAAAGTCAGGACAACCCCCAGCTCCATCCCATGCTTTGACTCTCTTCTTCCTCAGCCTCTTTCTCTTTCCCCTCCCTCTCTATCTCCCCTTCCATCTCTCTTTTCTCCCCTTGTCTTCTATCCTTTCATCTTTCATATGTACACACTCATATCACCTGCTATGAACAGGCAAAGAAGCTCCCACACTCTCCCATAGGGGCATCATCATCCCTGGGCCTGGATATCAAATTCTTGGTATTTCTAGCACCTTTCTTCACCCTTCCTGCCTCCAACTCAAGGAGATCACTCTCTGTCTGGGAAACCCTTCACACACACACACACATACACACACACACACACACACACACACACAGCCCCCCCTTCCTCTCTCTCCCTATGGCTCACAGTAGGAGAAATCAGATCCCCTTGGCTTAGCATGATGTCTGCTGTGGCTTTGTCCCTAAGCTGCCTGTGGTCCTCTTCTCCCAGCCTTTCCTGAGTTACCTTGACTCCTTAGTCTAAAGGAACACCCACTTACTGGGGGTAACTGCTATAGTTTGAGTTGGAAACATCTCTCACAGTTCCATGTTTTCAGCATTTGCTCTCCATCTGGTAAAACTATTTTGGGTAGCTATAGAATCTTGAAGTGGCATCTAGCTGGCCGAAGCAGATCATCAAGTGCAGACCATTGACAGTTATAGTCTGGTCCCTGTCCCTGCCATTAGCTTTCTTCTTCTTGGTCTACCACGGTGTGAATAGCCTCTGCTATGGTCTACCATGGTGTGACTAGCCTTGGCTACACGTTCCTCTTGCCATGCCTGGGAAGGGTAGACTGAAACCCTCTGAACCTCTGAGCTATAGACACCTCTCTTAAGTTGTGTCCAATAAGTATTGTGATCACAGTAATGTCACCCTCTGACCCTGTTCATTCTCTGGGCTTGAGGACTCAGTTCACATTTCCAGTTTCTCTAGGACCCTGAAACTTTTATCTGAGGGCTGCTGCCTTTCTTTTGCCTTTTCATGACAAGCTCCCCAATCCACTCCTCTGGCCCTGAGCATCCTATACTAGGTGTAAGTTAACACCTACCATGACATCCTTCCTTTCTACTCTGAGGAGTCCAAGAGGGCAGACTCTGTCCCTGTACTACACCTAACCCCAAAGCAGGATCAGCCAGTGCTGCAGATACCCCACTGGACTCTGCCCCCCATGTTAGCACACCAGCCTGGATCTATGTGCCATCTATGAAGGAACCTCATGTCCATCAAGTCTAAGAGACATGCTCTTTGTCTCTCAGAGGGCTACTCCCTTGAAGCACAGAGGAGACAAGAGCCAGGAGAAGCCATACTTCTGGAATTTCTTCACCAAATTCTCCGTAAATGAATAAACGTGCTTCCAGTGTTTGGCCGCAGAGCCTGACCTGAAGACAGAGGAGACACATGTCAAGGTATGACATAACATCATAGGGTAGGGAGGGGGTAGTTTCAGCCTTCCTAGTCTTCCACTGGGTGCCATGGTGGGTCATCATGAAGGGTGACTTTCCTCAGGGCCAGTAGTGAACAGAAGGTAGCCAAACAGCCTCATCTACTGAGACTGTGAGGTCCCAAGAAGGGCCTTTAGTGGCTCACCACAGTGCCTGGTTATGCTGGGTGAGGGCTATGTAGTCTCACAATGAGGGAGGATGTCTTGATTGGAAGAGCTACCCAGTGTTCTGGTGTGTGAGGCTCTCCACCCTGCCTCTACTGACTTTTAACTTGCCAGTTCTTAGGCCTGTCCATGAATAGGTGGAACAGGGTTAGTGGCACCATTGTCATCAGAAGGCGGGACACTAGGAAAAGCCTAGAGGGTGACCCGGGCTTGGCCTATAGTTCCTTCCTCGAACTCTTGGGTTCTTAGGGATGAAGGTTACTCCTCAGGTGAGATCACTCTTTGGTTGTGGAACATCTGGGGCACAGGTTGGGTCTTGAGGGTTGTAGGTCTTCCAAGCTCTTTGCTTTTTGGTTGGCCACCATGGCACACCAGTTGCAGCTGTCATGTCTTCCTCACCAGGGTAGACTGGACCATTGAGCCATTTATAAACCAAATAAAAGCTCTCCATTGTTTTCTGTTTGTCTGCTTTACAATAGTTACACCATCAAGGGGCAGAACCCAGATCTTCCTTCAAGTCTCATGGGTGGTTTATGCATTTAGGTGACTCTGCAGTGTTTAGCAATTACCGGGCAAGCTTTGACTCTGAAAACCCATCCACGACACAAACTTTGCCATGAAGAATTGTCAGACAGATGTATTCTTTCCCACTCTTCCCCACATTAGAGAAATACAAATAAAGTCTGTCAAGTATCCTGTCACAGTGATAAGGGAAGTAACAGATAGCCACAGATTCCATACATTCCTCCATATTTCCCAGCATCCACAGCAGAATGAAGGGAAATTCCTGGGCTTTGGCTATGATGGCCCAGTGCTGGGGGCAGTTATGCTTCACAGCGTCCTGAGCATCCTGCAAAGCCTGGCTGTCCTGAGCCAAGATCAGCATTTCTAGCAGGTGCTGCCAAAGAAGGCAGCTGCAGATCTGCTCATTTCTGCCCTGGGGTTGTCATTTCCAATTAGTACAAGAGCCAGGGGCTGTCCCATCAGGACTCTGAGATCCCTGGGCCTATTTTCTCCTGCTCTGTCCCTGCACGCAGAGTAAACAGATGAAGAGTGGTTATAAATGTGTATGAAGAAATGAAGCAGGACACGGATCAGCTTCCGACCACTAGAGAACCCAAACAGCTGCACGAGATAAAGGAGTCAGTAAAGGGTATGAGAACGGAATTCAGCGAAGAGATAGAAATGCTGAAGGGGAACCAAAATGAAATGCTGGAAACTAGGGAAACTAATAAGTAAATGAAATACTCAGTGGAAAGACTCACAAACAGAATGGATTACGAGAGGACAGAATATGAGGGCTTGAGAAAAGCATAGAGAAATGGAAATATTCAATCAAGGATAATGATAACATTTAAAAAAGTGAACATGTGCAATCATTGGGACAGCATAAAAAGGCAAAATCTAGGAACTAGGGGCATAGAAAATAGAGAATAATCTCAAACAAAGGCATAGAAAATATTTCCAAAGGGCTGGACATACGGCTTAGTGGGTGAACTGGGTGCTGTGTAAGTGTGAGGACCTGAGTTAGGACTCCCAGACCTTTCATAAGAATTCAGGAAAGTTGATTTTTTTTAATTCTATTCTGAACACAGTAGAATAAAACTAGAAACCAGCCACAGAGAATCTCAAGAAAATACACAGACACATGGAGATTTAACAACACACCATACTAAACAACAATACTCATTCAATACCGGGCCATTGAAGCAATTAAAAAAAATTCAATCAAAAAGTTCTAGCGATGACTAGAAACAAAATCATAATGTACAATGATACAATAACCTACATGATACAATAAAAACAGCCTTAAGAGGAAAGTTCATAGCTATAAGAGTCTAACTGAAAAACCAGACCAATTTCACATGAATAATAATACATCTTAGGACCTATCAAGCCAACCCCCTAATTAATAGATGTAAAAAAAGAATTAGGAGTGGGACAGTGATTAATGAATTATAAATAGAAATGAAAAAAATCAATGGGAAAAAAGAGGGTTTTGTTTGTTTGTTTGTTTGTTTGTTGTTTTTTTTTTTGGAAAAAATAGATCCAAACTGACAAAATTAGATTAAAAGGGAGACATTACAACAGACACCAATGCAATTCAGGAAAATTTTAAGGTATATATTCCACTAAGTTGGAAAATCTGAATGAAATGGATGGATCTCTAATGCATATGGCCTACCAAGTTAAATCAAGATGAATTAAGAAATTTAACCAGATCTAAAACAAGCAATGAGATTGAAACTGTAATTTAAAAAAAAATCTCCCAACTGAACAAATTTAAGCTTAGATGAATTTACCATAGGATTCTACTAGATCTTTAAAGAATAAACACTAATCTTTTCCAAATCATTCAATACCATAGAAAAATGAAGAAATGCTTCCAAATACTTTATACAAAGCCATTATTACCCTGATAATATAAACCAGAGGATGACAAAACAATAAAAAAGATAAAATTACAGACCAGTACCCATCAATGACTACAGATATAAAAATTCTCAATACTTGTGAACATATCAGAAAGATCAGCATCATGATGAAATTGGCTTTATTCCAGAAATGCAGGGATAGTTTGACAAATGAAAATAAATAAAAATAATACACCATGTAAGTGGACTCTAGGACAGAAGTCACATGATCATCTCAATACATGCAGAAAAGATCTGACAAAATCCAACATCACTTCATGACAAAAGCCCTGAAAACACAGAGGTGATATATCAAAACATGACGAAAACTCTACAATAAACCTACAGATATCATGCCGGTAAATGGAGGAAAAACCAACATTCCCACTAAGATTAAGGACAAAATCCGGGTATCCTCTTTGCACTCCTGTTTGATATAACTGACAGAAACCTTAGCTAAAGCAATCAGACAAGAGGGAGAGAGGGAGGCAGGGATGGGAAAGAGAAAGGCGCGTGCCCTTCTTTGCAGATGGTATGAGTCCCTGCACAAAACCCTCCAGGGTCCTCTAGAGAACTCTTAAAGCTGCTAAACACTTTCAGCAAAGTGGCAAGATACACTGTGTAAAATCCAGCATCCTTCTTAAACACCAATTGCAAACTATGAGAAAGAAATCGAGGAAACAGCTGTATTCACAATTGCTTCAAACAAAAGCCTTGAAATACACTTGTCCACAGAAGTGCTAGAGCACAACGTAAATATTGAGACGTGGAAGAAAGAAATTGAGGAAGATATTGAAGATGGAAAGACATCCTATGCTGGTGGATTAGAAGAATTTAGCATTGTATAAACGGCAGTCCTAGAAGAAGTAGTTTATAGATTCAGTGCAATCTCCATCAAAATTTCAATGCCATTTTTTCCATAGAAATAAAAAAAAATCTTTAAATTTCTGTGGAAGTGTAAAAGACTTGAAAACACTGTAAAACTACAAAACGCATAAAAACTGGCAAAAGAACAATGCTGGAGATATCAGCATATCTGATTTCAAGTTATACTGTAGAGCCATAATAACAAACAAAAAACAGCATGGTGCTGGCACAGAAACCAGACACATTCATCCGTGGAACAGACTAGAGCACCCACTGATAACCCCATGCATCTCCAGCCACCCGAGGACTTGACAGAGGCACCAAAGCCATACAGTGGAGAAACAGCCTCATTAACAAACGGTGCTGAGGATCTACGTGTAAAAGAATAAAAGGAGAACCATGTGTCTTTCTTTGCACAGGAACCAACTCCAAATGGATGTGAGACCTTAATGTCGGACTGGGAGCCCCGAAGCTGCAGGGGGAAAGTAGGGAAAACACCACAAGATACAGGCGTAGGGAGGGACTTTGAATGAGGCTCCCATTCCTCAGTAAATAAAGCCAACAATCAGCAAGTAGGACCATAGGAAATGAAAACGCCTCTCTATAGCAAAGGGAATAGTTAATTTGATGAAAATGTAACCCACAGAGAACAGGAGAAAATCTTTGCTAGATAATCATCTGACAGAGGATTCCTATCCAGAACAGACAAGGAGCTAAGTACCTAACCAACAGGACAACAAGCCTCCCAGGTAAAAGGGTGGTGGTGGTGGCCGAGGAATTGAATAGAGAATTCTCAAGAAGAAGGAATTCAAGTGACTAGTAGATAAAGTGTTCACCATCTTTAGCCATCAGGGAAGTATCAACTAAAACCACCTGGAGCATCTACCTCTATCCTATCAGAATGGCAGTCACCAGAAACCAGCACTAGTTAGGGCTGGTGAGGGGGTAAAGAAAGGGGATCCTTGTTCACTGTTGGTGGATTATAAACCACTGGCAGTGCTATGGATGTTAGTATGGACATTTCTCAAGAAAACAACAACAACAAAAACTAAAGCAAAAAATACTATGCACCCAGAAATACATGTATGGGCATATACTCAAAGGACTCTCTACCCTACCACAGAGATACTTGCTTATCTTTGTTCCTACCACAGAGATACTTGCTTATCTTTGTTCATTTTCCCTCAATAGCAGGGAAATGGAACCTGTCCAGATGAAAACATGGCATATATACACAGTGGAATTTTCTTCCATCATAAAGAAAAATGAAATTATTGTGACTCCCATGCTACTATTGAACTATATGCCTTGCCTGGCAGGTCAGTAGTGCCCAGTGCTGGATAAATATCCCTAATGTTTTCCCCCTTCATCAGGCTGAATAGCACCTTGTAGGGCTATGAAAGCTATACATCAGAGAGAGAGAAAGAGAGAGAGAGAGAGAGAGAGAGAGAGAGAGAGAGAGAGAGAGAGAGGGAGGGAGTCTTGGTCAGTTCAAGGTTGATTTCTCTGTGTCCTATAATGACAGTATGTGATGTCTTCAGCAATCAGGTGGACAGCCAAGAGAAATGGCAATAGCTTGTGTTGTTTTGGGTACCTCTGGGGGTCCCCAAACCAATAGCTTATGGAGAGGTATCCATGTCTGGCACTGAGATTTTCATGTAATAACCCATGTCTTCTGTGAGCAGCATTGCTCACCAGTGTGGGGTACCTTGTTCAAACTTCTTTTAAGGTATGTGAGTCCTAGCTTCTAGTTTTTATGTGTGTGCATCTATGTGGGAGTGTGTGTATATCCTAAGAAATGAGAAAGAGGCCCATGAGAAGGGAAAAGGAGGCGTTAAGGGGAAGGGGGAGGGTAGTAGGAGGGTAGGAGAGCCCGTGTACCCATGAAATGTGGAAGCAGAGGGACGTGGAAGGGAAGAGAGTCACCGAGGGTAGAAAGGGGGCAGAGTAGGGGGTCGGGGAGAGGAGTCGGTAAGGGTAGGAACAACTGAAGAGACACTAGCCCACTCGAGCACGTGGCCCTGGCAGGCCTTGCCCTTCTCCCCCACTCCCTCTGCCTGCTAAAAACATCAGATAACGTTCCTAAAGCTGGCCACCAGGGTCCATTCCCTTATTCGGTCACTTCCTCCTCCTGAGGCTGACTAGCAAGGTCCAGCTATCAAAGTATTGAAGTCCAGCAATCAGAAGTCCCCTCGAGGTCACCTAATTAAGATACCCAATTAAAATCAAACACCTCATCCTAACACAGGGGTTCCCCCTTTACCTTTATAAACTGCCATTTGCCTATGGACCACGTCTGTCTCCTCTCTATCCAGGGGCGGTCCTTTGTGCCCCCACCTCCCTCTCCCCCAGGACAGATACCCCCTTCTCCCTCATCCTTTATCTCCTGTCGTCTTTGTCTCTTAGTCCCTGCCCTTTGTCCCTCTCAGGGAAAAAATCTCCTTTATGCTAAGAACTTGGTCTTGCGGTGTCTTTATTCTATACGGAAAAAAAGAAAAAGCCTTAAAGAAATGTGACACTCTGCAATCTGATTAAAAAGTAAAATAAAATAAAATAAAAACTTGAAGGGTGGGCCAGAGGTGGGCTATCTCCCTCAGAGTTACTGGTCAGGGAGGCCCCCAAAGCGACACAGGCACTTGCCATTGCTCTTAGCTTCCCATAAGAACTAGATGCTAAGACCCTATTGCCAAAGACACCATACACTCCAGAAGAGGGACACAGAGAAATCAAGCAGGAACTGCCCTGGAAGTTACCTCCCTTGCTGGCTAGTCCCCACCTTGCCGGGAGGTCTATGCAGGCTATGGGAGAAATTGTCAGCTCACTCAGCTGTGGAACCTGTATGCCACACTACCGGCCAAGCAAGCCTTGTGCCCATTAATGCAACTGAAGCAGGTCTGTTAGGGATGACCAGTTGCCTTCTGGTTGCATGTGAGTCCTATCTGGTCATGAAAAACCTAGTCAAAAGCCTGGGGCAGAGGAGATCATGGACTTCAGTGGGGAAGCTACTGCTGGTCTTTTGCTGGACGGCTACAATGTGCCCATTACACTTCCGTCTAAAAAACTCTGTTACCTAGAATGCCTGCAGATTACTGCCACGACCAATGCTTTTGTCTGTTTGTTTTTATCAATGAGCAGCAGCAATTGCAGAAGCTCATAACTGATTAAAGAGAAATGACTGCTTCCAAGTTGAATGAGTCAAACACTCAGACAAAATGAAACATTTATATTACACCCTCTAAGGTCAAGGGAATATCACCCAAGATTGGGTTAAAAAAAAAAAATCAAAAGCTGGCATGACATGGCTGTTGAATGCTTGAAATCACAGCAGCTAGGATTGCCTGCCCAAGATCTCCATAAGACCAGGGTCATCAATACTGTTATGGGACCAACCCTCCCCCCCCCCCCCCCGAGGGTTTATTTGTGGTTAATGGCTGCTTGGAGAGGGAGAGAGAGTTTCTCCAGTGGTGTAACCACAGCTTGGGCGCCCATGCTCCTGCAAACGACCTAATGAAGCTCACTGGGTCATTAACAAACAAATAAACCCGGAAGTAGAAGGGAGATGGAGTAGGGGGTTAGTGGGGAGGGGAGTGAAATGGCGATGAAGTGGTAAAAATACATTTCATACGTGGATGGAAATAAAGGAGAAAAATACCAACAAGTCATACGGCTGAACTCGGGAGATCAGAGTGGAAACATGTTTTCCCATCTTATAGAAATTAAGAGCACATTGCAAATTTCTGTAAGTCAAGAATTGGATACTTAGATGGGACACCACCAGAGAACCCCGAGCCTCTCTCTGGCTCTCAGATCCAGTCTCCAGTCCCTCCCTTGACAGCCAGGAGGGGTCTAAAGACCAGTTCAGCTTACCTACCACACAGAAAAAAGAGACCCTCCCCAGGATAGGAATTGTCCACGGCTCTTGCTTTGGGAGAAAGAAGCTGAATCCTTAGGGCAGTCAAACCAAGATTATTCTGAGCAGCAAGGCTTGAGAGTGCCCACAGCGGCAGTGGCAATCTCCGAGGTCCCTCTGTGAGTAGTTCACATGGTAGAAAAGGTGCCTCCCAGTAGCCCCTGGGCCTGAGGGGTATGGTGACCAGATCAGGGTCAAGATGCTGGGGACAGAGCCATCTAGAAGGCCCGTGTTGGCCTCCCTGTATTCAGGAAGTCTGTGACAGCAGCCTACATCCTGGGGTCTGGCCACAATGATCTTGCCTGTCCTGCAGAGTCAGACCTACCACTGATGCCCAAGGGCTCTTTAGGGACCGTGCAGGAGGGAAACTCACTTGTCCAGGATGAAGTAGAGGTCGAAAATACCCTGACAGTCCTCTTCAGCTCGACCCTGGCGCAAGTTTTGCCTCATGTGTTGGATCTGGCGTTGGTTGTACGTTCTGAAGCCTTTGCCCAGGCGGGGGAAGAGTTTCCAGCCAGGGCCATGGTATCGGAGGCTCCCAGCTGTAACAATGTGAGGAGGCAGCAGGAGCAGGAGCAGAAAGAGTGCGGAGCAAGGCATGGGGGCCTGAGAATCCCTATGGTCTTCTGTCCCTGGGACCTCACCAACTCTTGGCACGCTGTGGAAGGTCACATGTAGGCTGGAGGACAGCCACTCCCGGCCTCTTCCCCCACCACCCCTGCCTGAACCCAGGGCTTGAGGACCACCGCTGTGTCCTACCGCCAATGGCAGCACTCCACCTGGTACACTCAGAGCACGGGGACTGGGGAGGCAGCTGCTGGGGGGTACCCTTCCCCCAACTACCTGCAGAGCCCTTCCCCCACCTTGGGACAAAACCCCCTGGGGTTGTGATGGGCAGGAAGGTTGACATGGTGACTTTGTGACCTGCCCCTCTGCTCAATGCCTTTATGCTGAAGTGTCAAGTGGCAGTCACAGGCCCTTGGCAGGAGGCTCAGATGAGGCCTCCTGGTCTCCAAGCCCAGCCCCTCCCACGGCATCCTTAGGGGACACCTCAAGGAACCCAGGTGTTTTGTTCATTGAAGAGATGGCTGAGCTCACCAGTTACTGTGGGTGAAGAGATCAAGACACCAAGGGTCAAGTGTGTAGGAAGTGGGAGGCCAATTGTGGGACCCGGAATCAGCAGTCAGTGTCTGGTTTGAAACAGAGATGGAGACTGTGTGCTACTGCTAGGGTCCCCTGTGAGTGGAATGGTTCACCCCTCCACTGCCACCGGACAAGCTGCCCAACTGATGGCCTAACAGAACCATTTTATTGTCATCTCAGGTGAAGTGGGTCAGACCCACAGGAAAGGTGGAGTGGGAGGCCCTGGGGAACTAGGGAGTCCCGAGCACTAGGAGACACTGGAGTTGTCTGGAAGTTTCCTCATTGTCCTCTGTGGCACCAGAGCTGAGGCGCTCCAGAGTGGGGTTCCATTGGGAATGTCACGAAGCCCTAGCTTGTGGTCCTCCCTGTGACTCGGGCCTCTTCACAGCATCAGTGGGCATGACTTTCTTCATGGAGGCTCAGAGCTTGAGAGGACAGTGTGGGCAGTGAGTGGTTTGAGATGTGGCGCCCTTTATGACATCACTTCACCAGGCATGGGGTCACTGATGCTGTCTTCCTGTCAGACCCTCACCAGTCTGTCAAGGTCCGGAGAGGAGTGTGGGTGGGCTCGCCCTCCACTTCGCCCTTCTGCACAGAATACCTGGAGTGCTAGAGGGGGCATGGTGTGGAGAGGTGGTGCCAGTGCCAGAAAACCGCATTCAAAAGGGATCCCGACCGCCCAGAGTGTGAGGGAAACCATGTTTAGAAATTCCATGATTACTTTTCTTTTTGTGACTGTATGCTCATAAAAGTCATTAAGAATGGAAACCTTTCCTCTAATTAATTCTAAAATCTCAATATATACAACATAAAGTTTACAAGGGATAGCACTGGGTCTATGGAAATCTCGTGTTTTCTTTTGCTGTTGTCTTTAGTGACCATCTCAAGTAATGTGTTGAAATTGATCAGATTTAGGATACTTGCTTTATCACATTAGAGTTCTCGTCACATCTTCCAGGACATTTCTTATGTCATACTTTTATAGTTTTTCCCATTGAATAGGTATCTCTTAGACTGCGACTTTAGTCTGCCTTTTATTCATTCCTAAGTGGACTGGCCATCTGTTCACGTGACCTGGGCATTTGTTTCCTTCTCTGAAGAGGCTGTGTGTATGTGTTCTTTCTCCATCCAGGGTGTTTAATCCTGTCATATTTACATTGTGTATCCTGAACACCAGGTCTTTATCAGATGTGGCAATATCTTCTTCCAGTGTGTGGCTTGTTTTTTCACTTATTTTTGAAAAAATAATGCACACATTCTTAGTTTTGATACAGATTGTTTTGAGTTGAATGAAAGGCCCTGGTCTCCAAGGTAACAATACTATATCCTAATGGAAATCTTAAATTACTGGGGGACACATCATTCAAGGGACGACCTCCATCTCTTCCATCATTCCTGGCTCATGAGATATGCCAGCCCCACCAGATGTTGACTGGAAGCACTACTTTTTTAAAAGTCCTGAAAATATAAACTCCAAAGATCTTGGAATTTTCAGAACTGTGAGTCAAAACTTGGGTGGAGAAGATGCTGATGAAACCCCTCTCCTTGCTGAGAGCTATTGGTAGCTGTGGTTGCTGGGGAAAGAATGCTTTCTTGATGGGTGCTGCTTACACTTGAGTGCTGGACCTACACTCACGCACACCTGTGGTTCTAATTAGACTCTGGTTTATAAAGAAAAAACTCATAGTTACAGTTTGAAATTCTTATATTTAGTTTTAGAAACCTAATATTTGAAAAATGTGATTTAAATGGTTACTACTATATAAGTATGTAATATATATATATATATATATATTGTAACAGAACAAATATGTTCTAAAAGATAAACCTATCTTTTAAAAATTAATTGCTTCAGGTGTTTTGTTATGGTGCCACAAAGCTAACTCTCACACAGATGGTCACTTTCCACCCTTTTCCTGCTCCCAAGGAGTTGTGTTCCTGAGCATCTTCAGATTCTCCGGTGCTGTGGAACTTGTCCTAACCTGGTACAGGCTGCCATTCTACGTGTGTGGAGTAGGCCTCTCAGAAGGGCAAAGAGGCAACAGGAAGCTTCAGCAAATACCCGGGAGAGTTTCTAGGCCTTGAGAAGACACAGCTCTGGTGGGTGTTGGACTGAGTCCATCAATGAGGCTCTCCAGCAGCAGGCTGGAGGGACATGGCTGCTTAGTTGGGCCAAGTTCAGAGATTTGTGGACTGTGCCCTATGCTAACACTGGGGTATGCCCCGTGCAGAACCCAGAGGTGTGGGGAGCAAGATCCATCTCAGTTCTCCCCTCTCAGCTGTCTGCTTCTCTGTCCTTCCTTCTTCCTTCACTTGTCATGGAAGATGTGATGAGAACTCTAACGTGATAAAGCACAGGTAAAAATCTCACTTCAATTTCTTTACTTCCAAGTTGACGTTATGGGCCTTGTTTCTATTCATAAATGGCAACATCCCTGGTGAATGCTCGGTTCCTCTCAGCCAGGGTGTGGGCTGGGCACTAGGGTAAGAATCATATACCGATCACAGATCTTTCTCTAACAGGTATTTCCAAACATCTGGAATGTAACATGTTTTGTGCCCATCACGGGATAAATGCACAAATGATCAATTTATAAGTCTCTGGGTTTTCAGGTTGAGTGGTTTTTAGAAAGATGTTTCTGATTGGCTCTTCCCCTTACGTTTGGCTTTCCAGGGCACCCACAGCACACCAGGACCACCGCCCTTGCAGCGGCCTTAGGAGACAACGCCCACACCCATCTTCTAGGCTGGTGTGCCGCCCTAAGGTGGGAGACTCAGAGAGGAACGAGGTTCAGGGACTAGCATGAGAAGAAGCTAACGGGAGGCCAGAGCTGTGCGCTTGAGCTCTTTGGGTGTGAGTGGAAGTAAAAATGACAGCAAACAATGCTTGTGAATGTCACTGACAGTACGCATGTTAGGCGACACATTTTTACTGCTTGGTGAGACACGGAGCATTTTTAATTTGTAACTGTGGGAGTTGAAGTTAATGTTCATGTGTTCATTAGGTAGTAGGGCCAATGTGAAAGTATTTTATGTTAATAGCAGATTTTCTTGGCCACATTTCAAGTGAAGATGTCTAGAAAAGCAAGTCTGGTTAATTTTGGGGGGAAAAGGAGAAATTAGATATTGAGGCCTTTTATTTCTTGTAGAGTTCAGCCTTGTCAGAGAGACATGGCTTCATTTTTTAATGTATCTGATATGTATTTTATTTTATATGCCCATATGCTAAACCACAAGATACCAAAGTTGTTTAATTACCATTTCAAACTGATTTTGAAGTTTATTATGTTCTTTACTGATAAGTCAGTCGGTTGAGGCTCTCATCCGAAGCTCCAGAGGAAACTCGGCATTAGGTTACACAGAAACGGACAGAAACTCAGTTTTATGGAGGGAGTTACAGTGTGTTTAGTGAAGTAATCTGCCATGTCATGACAAAGAATACCGGGCAATTCCTGTGTGTGTGTGTGTGTACGTGGGGCTTCAGTATGAGAGGCTGTAGCAAAGATTTCTGAAGCTGTTTTATGAATAAAATAAACATTTAATAGCAAAATTATAATTGCATATTAAGTTCCTGTAATCATAATACTATGGATGAGAGAAGGAACACAGGATTTGAGACCAGCCCTAGCTACAAAGTGAGACCCTATCTCAAAATAAAAATTACCCACCCCCCAAATTAATGTAATCAATTTTTGCAATAATTTAAAATTTTAAGCAAAATATTTTATTTAAAATGACATATAACATGGGAGGAAGGAAATGAAGGAATAAAAACATCACCTCTAATAGTAGACCAAGGCGAGTGTACTTTTTAGCACTCCTAAATAAGCCTTGATGCGTTCAGCTTAACTTGAACAGGATGGGGAAAGACTCTCTCGTGGGATGGAGAGACTGTCACCATTACACATGATCTTTCATTAGGAAGTATCCATCCCCCCCCTGGAGCCCAGACAATGTGTAAAGGACAGAATAGACACACTGATTGCGGAGGATATGACTGATGACTTTTCTAATTATTGATTTGTGGGTCCTGCAATCCAAGTGTCCAGTTGGCTAGACGTATGACTCTTGTCTAGTGAAAAATGACAGAATGTTCGAATCAAATGGTGAAACCGCTTTCCTAAGCATCAAAGAGCAACCAGGTACCCAGGTCTGCCCTCAGGCAGATGTCTCCCGAGAGTGTCTCTGGTGCACCAAGTATGCGCTCTACTGGAGATTCAGGTAGTGTTCAGTCATGGGGTCTCTTCCATCCTGGTCTAGGATAAGAATCGCCTCTGTCTACTTCGGTTTGGTGATGCTCCAAAGTGAGTTTTTCTGATAATATCCTGCTTATCCCAAAGACCCGGGGGTTGAGGTGGGATGAATAGTGGAACAAAAGGCAGTCTCCCTGCAAGTCGGGTAACAGGGCTGTACCTCATCTTCCTATTTTTTAGGCTGGGAGCTTCATTTTCATTAGGGTAGGTTAGGAAGAACTGGAAAAGACTGAGTGACAAGGGGGACTTGGTAATGTGTGCCCTTTCCCTTACTTTCTCTGACACTGGTCACCATAGACAGTCTGCTGGAGCTCTCTGTGGACGGCCAGAGTGGAGAGAACTCTCTGTCCAGAGTCCTACGGCTCCTGAGCAATGCTTTCTCCTTCAGTCAGGGCTGCATCCCTAGTTCACGGTGGCTACAGCACCAAGGCTCCCACTGCATTCAAAAGCTGGCCTTTCGCTTTCCG